TTCGAAGCTTGCCAAAAGGGTACACCTCAAGATATTGAAGATAGTTACATTACTTTGTGTAGTGTAACATTTCACTTGGTGTAGGCCCTAGTGAAGGGTAGTTTCGAGACCCTTCGTGGTTGGGGACAGTGTGGCACTGTTCCACATCACTGTACCTCGGCTCTTGGGGTTTGTAGGAGCTGGGAGTCATTCCCAACTCGTAACTCTTCCTATCTTGTGTTCTAAGACTATAGCGGCTGCCATAGTACCGTTCGTTCAAACCGACGCTGTGTCGTCAATTCTTTATCAAATCGTGCAATCTAAATTGCTAATTGTAGACGACGTGAAGACGCTCCAGATCCAATTTGAATCAAGTCATTTGCATGTGTGAGCAGAACGCTATCAACGTTTGAAGCCGCTGTGCAGAAATCCGTCTGTGCTCTCTATCTTTCATTTTAGGCACATTCAAGCCTATTGTGACTATAACACAGAGAACACAGAAATCCCAAGCTGGTGATTCAACGCTAGTGGGGGGAACTAACGAGTGGAGGGACAATTTAGCGAGGGGAGTTCGCGAGGGGAGGGACTCGGCGCGGGAGGGATTTGGAGAAGCTGGTACGGGCGAGAGAGGTTTGAAGAGCCAAAACATGATGATTAATTAGCCTCGTAAAGTAACGATGTGTCGTTTTATTTAGTGGTCTTGCTCCTCGAAACGGTTCTCGACCGACGAAGCGGTTTCTAAACGGAGCGGCGGAGGGGCGTCGACAACAAGCTGTTGAGGAAAGAGGCGACGTACTAGAGAGACGATTTACGAGGCGCCTCGGGAATCGTGAAGTACTTATCGACTATTCTAAACGATCCGGCGAAGTTTGACGCGTTACGAGGAAAATCCGGCTTGATACGACGAGAAAATGAAATCCAAATCTGAGAAGCACGAAGGCAGATGGTTACGAGGCTTAGGTCGAGTTAGCATGTCGCTTTTGCAAGCGTCAAGCTCCTGGAGCTCCTGGTTAACCAATGTTTTGCTTGCACATGACTTAATACACTTCCAATTGAATATAATAATCGCCGGAATGCGGACGCGCCGCAGTTGCATCGTCCCCTGCTTCCGCCCCGGGACCACCGACGCAGCTGCGACTTATGTTTGTGCGCCATGAAATGCCACGGGAATATGTGTTTCTTGGATTGAGAATATTTGAGGAGCTGGGTATGGCAATGAGGGGACGTTGAGGATTTGAGGGACATTTGGGAACACACTTCAACAGAAGTGGAACGCACTTCGCGTGACAGAGCGGTTTGGTACGACGCTGGGCATAATCAAGCGGTTCATTTAAGATCTAGAATTCTGCCTTGACACCCAAACACGAAATCATCCCCTGAAGGTTGGGGAAGACACAGTGAGTCGCATTTGCTGTATGGGGGAGTGGGGGAAGGAGTGGAGTGGAGAGGGGAAAAAGCGGCGGGGGGAGGGGGGGAGAGGGGGGTGGGGGGGTGGAAAGAGGTGTAGGGGGAATGGTTGGGGGATTCAAGCAGCAGGAAATGCTGAGAAACGCGTTCCGGAAATGGGTTTCTCGTCCTGACCAATCATGAGCGAGTCAATCTCCCAGTAGTCGTTGAAGGTACAATTATTTGACAGGTCAAATTGCTGGGCTGGAGAGAAACTATCGTCGTAAGCCCTCGGATCAGTCTTGAGGCTAGAAAATGCGTTTGAGCTCCACAATTATGCCTGTTTTGATCAAATGTCGAATGTGAACGTTCGTCGTCCTGCCCGATACAATAATCCTATTGACAAGTTCAGCGGCTGCCTACCACACCGTCCATCGCGGCGATTGCCGGGTCCACAGGCAAAGGTAATGTATATACACTTTTGAGTCTGATAGAAAAAACCCCCTAGTTCCCTTTGACAAGCACAAATGACAATCTATGAGTTATTCACAGCTTTAGCTAACAGCCAGATTACTATCAGTAGAAGTGCCTTGCAACAAATCAACATCATAGCTGCAAATCTGTTCAGTGTTTAGGCCTTTCCCTTCCATTCCTCTCATTTGCTGCCTGTGTTTCCCAGTTCTGATTCTGGAGGCCCCAAACAAGTACTTTACGTTCGTCCTCAGGCATTACAAAAAACCCCTCACTCAACTGAAGTTCCTTCATTAGCCTTCCCTTCCTCTTCGTCCTTTGGAATTGGAACACCAGCATCCCCATCAGCAGGTTCAGGTGCCTCTGCTTCGGGTGCCCCTACTTCAGGTGCCCGTGCTTCAGGTGACCCTGCTTCAGATGCACCCAAAACAAGTTCTTCAGTTTTCAGAGCACTAGGCGCATCCACATCCATGCCCCCTCCACTCACAGCAGCACCATCAGCACCAGAAGTAACAGCAGCACCACCAGCACCACCAGCAGCAGCAGCACCAGTAGCACCACCACCAGCAGCACCACCAGCATCACCCCCAGCAGTAACAGTGGTGGCATCGGCAGCACCAGCAGGAGGTGCTTCCACATCCATACCTTCACCAGCAACAGCCACATCACTGGGAGCAGCAGCAGCAGCACCAGTAGCACCATCACCATCAGCAGCAGCACAAGTAACAGCAACATCACCACCAGCAGTAGCAACACCACCGTCAGCACTAGCTGCAGCATTATCTACAGCAGGAGATGAAGCACCACCAGCAGCACCAGCAGCACCAGCAGCAGATGTGGCAGGAATATTGTCTGCTCCCTCTTTGCCTACAGCCCCTCCACTTGCAACATCTCCTGCTCCTGCTGCTGCTGCTGTTGCTTCTGCTGCTTCTGCTTCTGCTACTGCTCCTGCTTCTTTTCCTCCTACTTCTGTTCTCGCTGCTGCATCTGCTCCTGCTTCCTCTGCTGCTGCTACACTTCCATCTCCTTCCACTGGTGCCTTTGCTTCCTTTTGTGGACTTGCCTCGTCCATCTGAGTATCGTTCCCCTCATTAGCAGAAGCAGGAGTTGTAGCAGCAGCAGCAGGAACAGGAGCAGGAGCAGGAGTAGCAGCTGGAGCAAGAACAGAAGCGGGAGAAGCAGTAGCAGGAGCAGTAGCAGGGCCAGCACCACCAGGAGAAGTAGTAGCAGCAGTGGATGCAGCAGCAGGGGCAGCAGAAGAAGCAGGAGGAGCGGCAGAAGCAGCAATAGGAGCAGGGGCAGCAGCAGCAGGGGCAGCAGCAGCAGGAGCAGAAGCAGCAACAGGGGCAGCAGGGGCAGAAGCAGCAGCAGGAGCAGCAGAGGCAGAAGCAGCAGCAGCAGCACCAGGGGCTGCAGCAGCAGGAGCAGCAGAAGAAGCAGGAGGAGCGGCAGAAGCAGCAACAGGAGCAGCGGCAGGAGCAGCAGGGGCAGAGGTGGTTGCAGCTGCGGGTTTGACTGCTACAGAAGGCTGAGAGGGCCCAGGAGGGTTGCTGTTAGGCTTAGAGCCACTCCCAGGCACAGCAGCCACTGCGGTGCTGAGGGGATCAGAGGTATGCAGCCCCACTTGCACACGTGTATCCGCGTCAGCTCCTTCCTGCAGATCCGCATGTCCAGTCATCCCGCCAAATTCAATTCCATTCTCCTCCTCCCCCTCTCCTTCCTCCTCCTCTTCATCCTCATACCCCTCCTCTCCTTCCCCTTCCTCCTCCTCATATCCCTCCTCCTCATACTCCTCCTCACCCTCAATTCCCTCCTCATCCTCCTCCTCTTCCTCCTCCTCCATCTCTCCTTCAAATCCTGCACCTCCCCTCCCCCCCCGCTCCCCCCATTCCCCCCCGCCTGAACCCCCCTCCCCCCATAACCCTATCCACATCCGCCATATACTGTCCCAGATCTCTAAATCTCCCCCCCAACCCCCCGCTTCCCACTCCCCCACTTCCCACTCCCCCCACGCCCTCTCCGCCCGCTCCCCCTCCCCCTCCCCTTCCTCCCACTCCTGCTCCCACTACCCCCCCTCCCTCGCCCCCTCCTACTCCTCCTCCCCCTCCTGCTTGTGTGCGTCTCTCATTGTATTCCCTCATCTCTGCCACATACCTCTCCCTGTCCCGCTCTGCCTGCTCCTGGTATGGCTGGTAATAAAAAAAGGGGGAGGAGGAAAGGTGTGTGTGTGTGGGGTAAGGGTGGTGCCGAATACATCTCCTCATTGTATTCCATCATTTCGGTGCGACTTTTGAGAACTCTCAAAAGTCGCACCAGTAAGGGTGGTGCCGAATACATCTCCTCATTGTATTCCATCATTTCGGTGCGACTTTTGAGAACTCTCAAAAGTCGCACCAGTAAGGGTGGTGCCGAATACATCTCCTCATTGTATTCCATCATTTCGGTGCGACTTTTGAGAACTCTCAAAAGTCGCACCAGTAAGGGTGGTGCCGAATACATCTCCTCATTGTATTCCATCATTTCGGTGCGACTTTTGAGAACTCTCAAAAGTCGCACCAGTAAGGGTGGTGCCGAATACATCTCCTCATTGTATTCCATCATTTCGGTGCGACTTTTGAGAACTCTCAAAAGTCGCACCAGTAAGGGTGGTGCCGAATACATCTCCTCATTGTATTCCATCATTTCGGTGCGACTTTTGAGAACTCTCAAAAGTCGCACCAGTAAGGGTGGTGCCGAATACATCTCCTCATTGTATTCCATCATTTCGGTGCCACTTTTGAGAACTCTCAAAAGTCGCACCAGTAAGGGTGGTGCCGAATACATCTCCTCATTGTATTCCATCATTTCGGTGCCACTTTTGAGAACTCTCAAAAGTCGCACCAGTAAGGGTGGTGCCGAATACATCTCCTCATTGTATTCCATCATTTCGGTGCCACTTTTGAGAACTCTCAAAAGTCGCACCAGTAAGGGTGGTGCCGAATACATCTCCTCATTGTATTCCATCATTTCGGTGCCACTTTTGAGAACTCTCAAAAGTCGCACCAGTAAGGGTGGTGCCGAATACATCTCCTCATTGTATTCCATCATTTCGGTGCCACTTTTGAGAACTCTCAAAAGTCGCACCAGTAAGGGTGGTGCCGAATACATCTCCTCATTGTATTCCATCATTTCTGCCACATACTGCTACCTGTCCCACTCCGCTTGCTCCTGGTACGGCTGGGGGAACAAGGGAGGGGGAAGGAGAGGTGGGGAGAGGGGGAGGGGGATCGAGAGAGAGAAAGAGAACGAGAGACAGAGAGGGCGAGAGGGAGAGAGAGCGAGAGAGGGAGAGAGAGCGAGAGAGGGAGAGAGCACGAGAGAGGAGAGCGTTCACGATCCTGTCTTGAGAGGAGAGAGCCAACCATCGTTCGCCGATGAGAGAGGGAGAGATTGAGAAACAGGGAGGATAGAAGAGAGCAGCGCTCACAATGCGGTCCTGAGGAGAAAGGGCCATCCACCGCTGGCCGATCTGCCGGCTGATCTCACGGTCGGGCACGTCGGGCATGTCTGCCTTGAGCTTCATCCGCTGCTCGCCAAAGAAGAAGTTGTACCCCGTGCGGTTCTGCTTCGGTGGCACCACCACCCCCGGCACTCCCTCCTTACTAGAAAGCAAGAGCGTGAGAGACCGGGGGAGAGGGAGAGAGGGGAAGAGAAAGAGGGAGGGAGAGAGAGCGAGAGGAGGAGGAAAGAGGACAACTCACGATTCTGTCTTGAGGAGACAGCGCCATCCATCGCTGGCCAATGAGGCGGCTGATCTCGCGATCCGGCACATCGGGCATGTCAGCCTTGAGCTTCATCCGCTGCTCCCCAAAGAAGAAGTTGTACCCCGTGCGGTTCTGCTTCGGTGGCACCACCACCCCCGGCACTCCCCCCGCTGCTGCAGCTAGCAGTTCGGCGCGCCTCCGCCTCTTCCTTCGCCGGCGCCGGCCGTGGGTTTGCGAGCGGATGAGCGCTGAGTCTAGGGAGAAGGCGTTGAGGAGGAAGGAGACGGGCTGGGGAGGGGCGAACGGGGAGGAGGAGGCGGTGGAGGGGGGGTGGTAGAGAATCCCGTGCAGCACCTGCCAGGAGAGGTGGGGTGGGAGAGGAGGAGGGGGGGGGGAGAGAAGGGGTGGGAGAGTGGGAGAGGGTAAGGCGAGTGCAGAAAGGGGAGGGAGAGGGTGGTGGGGGGGGATGAGGAGGACATGGTAAATGGTGGGTGGTAGAAATTCCCATGGGTAAGCTTAGTGAGACAGAGGGGCACTCCTGGTCGCACACCTGACGACACCCATCGGCACACCCAGAGACCTGGTCGCCCATCGGCACACCTGGTCGCCCATCAACACACCTGGTCGCCCATCAACACACCTGGTCGCCCATCAACACACCTGGTCGCCCATCAACACACCTGGTCGCCCATCAACACACCTGGTCGCCCATCGGCGCATGTGACACGCCTGGTGAGACTGCTACAAGGCACACCTGGTCACCCATTATCACACCTGGTCACCCCTTTGCACACCCGCCACCCCATCAGCATACCTGGTCGCCCATGGGCACGGTGATGAAATAGCCGTTGTCACACTTGGATCGAATGATGCCTGAGATGTTGCGCCCTATGTTCGCCAGCTGGGGCGCTGGCGAGGGGGACAGGGGAGGGAAGGCAATGCGGGGAGAAAAGGCAAATACGGGGAAAGAGTGGAGCGGATGATGCCTGCCTGAGATGTTGCGTTGCGCCCTATGTTTGCCAGCTGGGGCGCTGTGGAGGGGTTGTGGGAACAGGGAGACAAAGGGGAAAGGGTGACAGTGGGGAAAAAGTGGGGCGGATGATGCCTGAGATGTTGCGCCCTATGTTTGCCAGCTGGGGCGCTGTGGCGGGGTGTGGAAAAAGCAGGGAAGAACTAGGGTTGGGTGGGGCCGGAGCAGATAATGCCCGAGATGTTGCGCCCTATGCTGGCCAGGTGGAAGTTGAAGGCCAGCTTCTGCTTCTTATGGACTGTGAGAGGAGTTACTAACACGAAAGGTGCTGACGAGGGCGGGGAGGTGCTGATGAGGGGAAGTGCTGACGAGGGGAAGTGTTCACGAGGAAGGTATTAACGAGGACGCATGCCTCGTCCTTTGGCGCGTGGAAAAAAGGGGGGGTTACTTACGGGGAGGCGCTTCAAAGCCTTGCATCCTGCGTGCCCCGCGCTTGCGAGGGAAGTGGGTGAGAGCTGCACACACACACGGCGAGCAGAGATGATGGGGGAGGGGAGAAGATGGGGGTGTGAAGACAGTGGGAAAGGGGAGATATGGTGGGCGAGCAGACATTTTATTCGGGCTGAAAGTGTGTGAGACCTGCACATACACACATAGGACAAAAAGAGATGGTCGGAGAGGGGGGAAGATGATGGAGAGGAGAAGAGGGTATGCAAACGACTTGACAATCGCTTGCGAGGTAAGTGAGTCAGAGCTGCACGCACACAGGGCAAGCAAAGAAGGGAGGGGAAGGGGGAAGATGATGGAGAGGAAAAGAGGTGCATACAGTAGATAGCTCGTTAGAAGAGCATGCAGTAACTCAAATGGAGGATTCTCCTAGTGCTCTTGGCAATACGAGGGGAGGCACGCACGAGGAGGGGGCACGAGGGGTCCTTGACTATAGAAGAAGTAGGTCTGCTCGAAGTGGTACAGCAGGTTGATGTAAAACTTGCAGCAATGGGGATGGTGGCTTTATATGGGTTGGCGGGGGGAAAGGGGAACTTACGCGGTGGGGGCACAAGTGGCCCTTGGCGATTAAAGAAATAGGTCTGTTCGAAGTGGTGTAGTAGGTTGATGTAGAACTTTCGAAGGACGTATGAAGCACTGGTGGTGGTGGGCGGGAAGTCAAAGGGGATCGTCACGTCCCTCCACTTGCGGTCCGCTATCACCTGAACGGGGCAGGAAGCGAGAGGAGAGGGAAGGGGGGAACCGGAGTGGGATATTGCGCAGCACACAAGGCGCGCTGGTGGTGGTGGGCGGGAAGTCGAAGGGGATCGTCACGTCCCTCCACTTGCGGTCCGCTATCACCTGAAATGTCAAGTAGGGGAGTGTCGGAAGGAGAAGGGGAGAGGATGGGGAGAGGCGGGGAGGGGGGAGGAGTGGCGGAAGGGGGAAATCCGGGTGGGAACTTGCTCAGCACGTAGGAGACACTGGTGGTGGTGGGCGGGAAGCCAAAGGGGATCGTCACGTCCCTCCACTTGCGGTCCGCTATCACCTGAACGGGGCAGGAAGCGGAGAGCCAGAAGGGGGGAAAGATGGGAGGGAGGACGGAGGGAGGGAGGCAGTAGGTTGATGTAGAACTTGCGCAGCACACAGGGGGCGCTGGTGGTGGTGGGGGGGGGAGGGGGGAGGGGGGAAGGGGGGGGGGGGGGAGTCGAATGGGATTGTCACGTCCCGCCACTTGCGATCCGCTATGACCTGCTGTAAGGAGCAAGAAGGGGAGAGGGGTGGAGGAACCGGTGATAAAATAAACTGATCTGCCCGCTTAACTCTGCTTATCACCTGCACCACTCCTCACCTGCACCACTCCTCACCTGCACCACTCCTCACCCGCACCACTCCTCGTCTGCACCACTCCTCACCTGCTTCAAGGTGCAAAGTCAAACCTCCTTCTCCCATACAGCAGATGTATGTACATCCAACTCCTTCTCTTCCATCTCGATAACACCTGCACCAGTACTCACCAGTCCCCACCACTCCTCACCAGTCCCCACCAGTCCTCACCAGTCCCCACCAGTCCTCACCAGTCCCCACCAGTCCTCACCAGTCCCCACCAGTCCTCACCAGTCCCCACCAGTCCTCACCAGTCCCCACCAGTCCTCACCAGTCCCCACCAGTCCTCATCAGTCCCCACCAGTCCTCACCAGTCCCCACCAGTCCTCACCAGTCCCCACCAGTCCTCACCAGTCCCCACCAGTCCTCATCAGTCCCCACCAGTCCTCACCAGTCCCCACCAGTCCTCACCAGTCCCCACCAGTCCTCACCAGTCCCCACCAGTCCTCACCAGTCCCCACCAGTCCTCACCAGTCCCCACCAGTCCTCACCAGTCCCCACCAGTCCTCATCAGTCCCCACCAGTCCTCACCAAATTCCACCCATCCCCACCAATCCTCACCTGCATCAAGCCCCCTCTGCCCGTCACTTCACGGTACAGCAGATGCAGATCCAGCTCCCTCCCTCCCATCTGTGGAATCCTGCAGGCAGCAGGCAGAATGGAGAGGGAGAGGACGAGGAGAGGAGAGGGAGAGGAGATGGAGAGGAGAAAAGGATCGGAAACACCGCTCATGAAACTTACACATTGAGTTGTGTGTACCTAGAGAAAAACAACAGCACGCGATACCGACCCAGTACCTGCCTGCGTTAACCCTAACAAGAATCAGCAGTATCACCCAGTATCTCTCCCACCTCAGAGACCCTCCCATCTGGTTGTGAAACCGCGCGAGCAAGTCAAGGAACAGCACGCGATCCCCCAGAATCGCCTCGTGCGTCGCTAACGGCTGCGGGTAGTGGTCTACCGGCCCACCGGCTGAACCAGTGAAACCTGCCGGCGCCGTCATCGCTGCTGACGTGGCTCCCGGCGCTTGTGCAAATGGTGGCACGGGAGAGGCCATATCGGCAAGATCTCACGAAGTAAGAACTGGGATCTTAGCTGTTCTAACAATTCTAAAGGGAATCTGCGAAGAGAACGACGAGAAGCCAGGATAGCGTTCAAGAGCAGTTCACGAAACACATGAAAGTCGCGTTATTTCCTTAGCGGTTACTTTGCCACGACACAAGCGAACGTTGAAGTTGCCTGGTCAGTTTAGGTTTCTAAATCCACTACTGGGATCGCAGGCACCTCGACCTCTGATACCGTATCTTCCAAGCTGCTCAGTACTGAAGCAGATCTCTCTCCCTCGATTACAATGTGGGCGTTCCCTCGCCCTCGACGATCGCTGCGAGAGGCGAGTTTTGAGACGACTCAAAAAGCTGCTCAGCACTGAAGCAGATCTCTCTCCCGCAATTACAATGTGGGTGTTCCCACGCACTCGACGATCGCTGCGAGAGGCGAGCAGCGAATAGAGCTATATTGAATGGAGTCAGCACCGTTCTAAAAAAACTTAGCTTCTACTCGTATGACTCGCAGCCTCGTCATTTAGGCAGCGAGTTATGCAATACATTCGTCGTGATTATTCTCCTAGATCAACAAAAATGCTACTCTTCAGCTGGACTCACTTCACGGTGACCCCTTCTTAGGTTAGCCAGTGTTTTCTATGGCGTAAGCAACACTCTACGTACGTACTCTAGTACCCACCCATTCCTCGCATTTGTGCTTACTGCCTAGTACGAGCCAAGAAAACCAAGCCCCAGGTTTTGCCGTTCTGCGCTAAAGCCTTTTCATTATTTGATCAAGCCGAACAGATATCGAGGTGGTGTGCTGGTTCAGTAAAGCCAATCGAATAATCCTGTATCAAGGACACAATCCTCAAAGTTCTCGACGTGTCATTGCCACGTCAACACTCTAGGAAATCCCAAAAGCCATCAGCTTTCCACCAGGCCTGTCGAAGTTCCTGGGGCCCATACTTGGAGTCCCCAGCTCCTCCCTATCTGACCCTGTTTTGGCCGTAGCTGAGTGTTTTGGCGCCCTTAACGGTCACGGGCGCAGGCCAAAGTGAAAACTTGATATCCGGGCTTGCACCTACACTATCTTAGCTAAGGGAAAGTTCGGCTGCTCCAAAGCTGACTTAGAGATATCACGAACACGGGATTGGTTTAGAAAACGCTAAGGGAAAAATCCCCTTGGCGCGCTCTCGTTGAACCTAAGGAGAAAGGGGGGGGAGTGGGGGGGTCAGGCAGAATTTCTTGGGGGGGGGGGGGATCCTAGAACCGGAAATCAAAACTTTGTGGGTGGGGAAGGCCTGGTTGGAGCACTTAACGTATCCGGGAAAGGGTCGAACGAAGCACTTAGTGTCACGGGTGCAGGGCGAACCTAACACTTTATGCAGTCGAGCTGGAGCAAACGTAGCCCGGAATTTCAGGGCATTAAGGGCATATGCCCGTCAATCGACAGGCCTGCTTTCCACATCCCCGCCGTTCATTTCACAGACCCGTTCGCAATCCGTCACATCCGGTTCAGAGACCTCTCATCTACGCCTGTCATCCCCTCGAAACCGTACAAAAACGAACTAATGTGTACGCTACCGCTCTGAACCATATTCGATTCGATTTTCCCACTCACGTTTCAGTTTAGAAACCAATTGCTGTAAGAATCGATTTTAGCCTAGAAACCATTGCTGGTTCTAGTTACTGGAAACTAGACCTCCGATTGGTCCGTTCCCCTAGTCTAACCATTGCAGCTTTTTGCTTCTTTAGTAGTGTTGCTCCCGACAGTAAGCTGAACTTCTCAGTTTGCGGGCACTCGTTCCTGGTCTAGCAGTAAGCTTCAGAATCCAGGATGGATAAGATTTTCGGACCCGCGTATACCGGCGATCCCGGCGTGCCTCACACTGATAAAGACATATTTTCCGGCATTTTCTGGGGAGCCGTCGGGTTTTCGCTCTACTCGGTAGCCGATCCATACTATTGGCAGCACTCAACGGAGCACAAGTAAGTTTGTCGAGTCCGTCCTTCTCGATAGCCGATCCGTATCACAGCCACCAGACGACGGAGCACAAATCGGTGGACTAGGTTTGAGGTAGAAGGCGCATGCAATCTTTTACAGGCGAGCATGTCACTGGAAAAAGAGCCTTTTACACAATGTGTTAATGTAAATGTCAGGACCCGTGCTAATTGGCATTATCATGGTATCGCGGATCACGCTGACCGTGAGTCAGGAACCTAGCGTTCTCAGCTTTAGCTGATTGCCAGAGTAACCGTCCATCATTTTCCAACCCTTCCGCTGTCATCCCCTCCCTTCTTTCCCTTGACGATCATTCCAGCTGGCATGACATGGCGTACATTCACGAGAACCATCAATTCAAGAAGGCGTGCCGGCAGAGAAAGCCTTACGAGCCTAAGGTGCGTGTTTATTATACGCTTCCGTATTGCCTCCGGGAGGTTTTACCTGGAATGAACGCCTTTCCAGTTAAATCTGTTGCTGCCTGTGCTTTGTTCCATACTGTTTTTTCACCAGTTTGCCTTACTTTCTGCTTGGTACCAATATGTCACATGGGGATGCGTTTTTATGTGGCTCTGTTGTGCAGTGGAACAAAATGATGTCCAAGGAAGTGAGAGAATCTTACTACAACAATTGGCGTGACTATTTTCCTTGAGACCATTCTGTGTCCTCCCCTACTGTAACTAGTCGTCTTTTACCCTTCAGCTTGTACCGTACAACATAATAACAGGCATCGCATCATCTAAAGGCGCTTTGACTGACTGCAGCTCAATCCTTTACTGACTGCAGCTCAATCCTTTACTGACTGCAGCTCAATCCTTTACTGAGTGCAGCTCAATCCTTTACTGACTGCAGCTCAATTCTCAAGGCACTTTGACTGACTGCACCTCAATTGCACAGAGATAACAAGAGAATCCTTTACTGCTAGACCGGTTGAAACTAAGGGTGTAATGTAAACCATTCAAGCTATCCCTTTGAAACAGTAAATGCGATACTGTTGGTCAGTCATCAAAGGATGTCAGTCTTCTGCAGAGAGGATGTAAGAGCGTAGCCGGCAGTTCTCAAAACTGAGACAGCGCAGAGGGGGCAAGGGAAAAGTATCATTGGCAGGGAGGGGAGAGGAAAGAGGGAGAACACAGACCCAGGGTAAATTGCAAGCTTTCATGTACCTCAGAAACATGAGGAATTACTTGGGAAAACTAAACCAGCAAGCATCCGCATAGCTTGCTTCAGGTTGCAGGGGAGGGGAGAGGGGTGGGGGAGGTGGGGATCTACAAAGAACGGGCTTTCTGAACGAACTTTTTTTTCCACATACACTGGAATGGTAAGAGTGACGCAGGCATGGAGCAAGGAAGCCAGTGCGAGAGGTGTTTGAAAAAGAACCAACCAGTGAGTAGCACAAGCGCCTGTTGTAGTCACGCTTGAAACGAGAACACTCACTAGAAGAGCTTATTTTCGGGCCGTCACGCAGGCCAGCCATTGCGAAGGCATGGAGGTGGAGAGTAATGTGCGAGGAGGCTGCTGAAACAACCAACCAGTGAGTAGCACAAGCGCCTGTTGTAATCACTCTCGAAACAAGCACACACTCACTAGACGAGCTTGTTTTCGGGCCGTAGGTGTGCAGGCAGGCCAACAGTGGCAAAGGCATGGAGGAAACCGCTGTGAGAGACGACTGCTATGGATCGCTCCTTTAGTCCAAGCAGCCTGTGGGGAACGGAGGAACGAGAAGGCGGAACGAGGTGTGTTAGCTGGTGGAAGGGGGGGGAGAGAGAAGGATGAGAAGGCCAACAGTGGCGAAGGCATGGAGGAATCCGCTGTGAGAGACAACTGCTTTGGAATGCTCCTTGAGTCCGAGCAGCTTGTGGGAGGGAAGGAGAGAGGCAGGGGAGATAGAGGTGTGGTAAAGAAGAGGTTGGGGGGAGGGAAGAGGGGGAAGGGATAAGGCCAACAGCGGCGAAGGCATGGAGGAGCTGATGTGCGAGACAACTGCTATACACTGCTCCTTGACCTGGGGAGAGGAGTGTGGGGTGAGGTGGAAGAAAGGGGGAGGGGAGGGGAAAACCTGCTGCGGCTGTGAAAGAGTGAGAAGCTATCTGAACTGCTCTATGCTGCTAACATCACTAGAGCGTTGAGGTTCAAGAAGTAAAAAACTTGCACCATGTTGCAGAAACCCAATGTAAGGCCTCAGACTGCAACCAGTCGCACCATGCGGCGAGATCAGTAGCTCGTTGCGCAATCTCCTCGCGAGTCTCCCTGGGCTCCACCTTCCACAGCGCGTCCTCATCATCCGTGATCTGCAGTACGGTGCGGTGTGGTGTGGTGTGGCGTGGTGTGGTGTGGTGTGGTGTGGTGTGGTGTGGTGTGGTGTGGTGTGGTGTGGTGTGGTGTGGTGTGGTGTGGTGTGGTGTGGTGTGGTGTGGTGTGGTGTGGTGTGGTGTGGTGTGGTGTGGTGGGGTGGGGTGGGGTAGACGTTGACTTCATGCATAACCATGCCACTGCCCTGCACAACACAAAGGAACTGGCTGGCACAACACCACACTGCCGGATTCCGCATCACATCGTACAGCACCGCACCGCACCACACCACACCACACAGCACCACCACGCCAAGAACACAGCCTGCACCGCACCTGACTGAAGTCCACAGAGGGGAAGAGGCCCTTCTTCTCTCTGATTGGCCGGCGCTTGTCGCACACATGCACGTGCTGTGCGGGAGGGAGGCATGACAGGCATACACGGGGATCCAATGCTATATCAGAAAATCAGGAAGAAAGGAGAGAGAACGGAGGGGTGGCAGGCACATGCTGTGTGAGGGATGATGGACACCCAGAGGAGGGGAATGGGAAAGGAAGGGGTGGAAAGGGGCATGCTATATGGAGAAACCCGGAGGAAGGGAAAGGGAATAGGAGGGGTGGAAAGGGGCATGGACAAGGACATGTGCATGCATGCTTTTCTCTGATTGGCCAACACTTGGTCACTGACTCACATCAGATGCTTCTCCCTGTGCACCCATTACCCCTCACGCTGCACTCACGGAACCCCACTCCTCCTCACTCTGCGGCACTCATAAGCCCTCACTCTACACTCATTACAGTCACTGACCCCCACTCACTCAACTCAGCTCAGCTCACCAGCGTTTCTCTGCAAAGCTCGTTGGCCAGAATGTGTGCTGGCGGCGTCGTGGTAACCTGGTTACCTCCTTCAGCTGTTACAGCAGCCGTCACAACAGTCGCAGGTACAACCGCTTCCACCCCATTGATTCCTGCTGTGAACCCGTCCACAACAGGAAAGTTCTTGGAAGCTGCTTCTTTCAGGGGAAGGTCGACTGGAATTGCAGTGTTAGGAGGGCCAAAGGCGCCCACTGCTGTTTGCAGTGTGCTGATGAAGGGGAGGGGGAGGGAAAGAGGAGGGGAAGGGGAACTGTGAGTAGAAGCTGGAGAAGGGTCGTTATTTTCTCCGCCGCGGGGGAGAAACGAGCACAGTGCGGAACAGTGAGGACACGTGTTGACTTATTTCAGCAGGGGAAACGGAATCACTTTTGAGAATTCTCAAAAGAAATGAGCACAGTGCAGTGCGGAACAGTGAGGACAAGTGTTGACTTATTTCAGCACGGTAGACGGAACAGTGAGACGACAGGTGTTAACTCACAGCAGAAGGAGAGACGGAACAGTGAGAGGGCATAACCTACCGGAGCAGGGGGGAGACGACTATCAGGTCGGCAGGGAAGCCTGGAGGAGGGTTGGCCGCTACTTGCCTGCGCAGCTCTGCTACCTGTGGTGTGCGATTGGAACAAATGGTGGAGGCTTGAAGCGAGATTGAGCCAAGTGCAAAGAGAGAAAATGAAGTCAAACAGAAACAATTCACTGAAGGATGTGGAAAGAAAGAAATAGAGCTGCTTAGCAGAACCAGACCTGCTCAAATCCCTGGGTGCTGAGCGGGCAGTCAAGATACTTTTCGAGCTTATACTGCTCCGTGTCCATCACCAAATTGTGCACTGCCTGCCCGTGACGAATCTGACCACAGGAAGAGCATTAGAAAGGATGTTTTGAACATTGAGCAGGTCACAGGATCAATGGAAGGTAGGAAATTGGGATTGAGATTGCATTGCACAATGTCGGTGAGATGCTGAGAATGTGCAATGTCGGCTCGGAAAGTGGGTTCGTCTCAAGACTCCAAGCTTTTTTTAGCATTCTAAAAAATATCGCGCATTGATTACCTCTCGAAACGAAACTGTCGAAGGCAATTTCCAGATCAGAAAAGGGCATAGAAGACTACAGACGAAGCATAGGATAAGATGATCAGGGTTAGAACGAACCAGGTGAATGACCTTCGATCGCGGTTTCGTCGTGTCGCCGTCTTTGCACGATGCAGCAACGGCAGGGTCCGTAAGCGGAGTTAGGTTCCATTTCAATGTCGACATTCTTCGTAACCAGTCTATAATTAAACAAGACGATCAGAAAATATGGAAACGACGACAATGCCGCTCGATACTTTACGAAGTTAACTCTGACCCTGCGCGCGCTCTAACACAGTCACTTAAACAGTGCCTTGGCAGTCTCCTGACACGGTCAGGCTTAGTCAGTTACTCACTCACGTTTCAGTAACTTCACGCAGCCACCGAACACGGTCAGGCTTAGTCAGTTACTTGCTCGCGTCTCAGTCTGACTCGCGTCTCACTACCCCGTCCTGCTCCCAGGACCTGCTACACATGATGCCCAACCACTGCGCGCGAATTTGCCTTGCACATTTCAGAAACTCTGCACCCGTGCTTTTTTTCCCGGTCAGTTGCACCCAGGGTATAGGCACGCGGATCAACTTGCATTTGGGCGAGAAAACGCCAAAGTATGAATCTTAGGCGCAAAACAAACCATGCTGACCCGGTTTGTTCTTGTTTCTTGGCCAGAAACGAGCATAAACCCTAAACCCTGAACTAACAACAACACAGGCCCACCAGCACTGTTTTGGAAAAAACAAACGAGTTACAACCTGTGTTTTTTTGAAGCACCTCAACACCCTGGCGAAATGGAACGAACTGGGCGAAATGACCAAAACGTTTATAAGCCCAGAACACAACCCAAGTAGAGGGGACTCAAACGGGCATCAGGTGTACGAAGCTGTGCTCGGAGTCCCCAAGACTTGGGCTTCTGTAGCTGATCTACTCGATAAAATCCTCGGTAGTGCCAACGACCGTTAGACCAGCACTGATGGTTCTGCTGTTCATCGGAACTGGTTCTACTATATTACCGCCTTGGAACGTAAGGCACCGAACACAATCGTGCACTTGAGCTGGAAACGATTTCTTGTGACTGCGTTTCTTCATTAGGGCTGTCCGCGATACCCTTGTGGACGCTCTCAAATTATGTTACGGTACCCCCTGGCTTTCAACATGAATATGTTTTTTAAGTGGAGGATAAATTGCGGTTGCCTTCCCCTGTTTAGTCGTAAATTTCCCTTATTACTCAGCCACATCACAAGAGGCAAGCCATGTCAAGCCAGTGAAGCATCTTTCCCTTTTGTTGGAAGGCACCGGTACCACAAGAAATTTCCTCGACATGTAAGGTAACCATGCCATAATCACAGAAAATGTGCCATGTTTCTAAGCTGTGCAGCGTTCCCCCCTGTAACCATGCATGCGCGCACTGCAGCCTCTTTAATATCCTCCTCATTATCTGTCACACGGCCGAGCTTGCAGCTGCATTGATGAGCCCAGAGGCAGGGTTGGGAAAGGAAAGGGGGGGTTGTGGGTTGAGGGAAGGAAAAGAGAGGTTTGGTGAGGGGAAAAGAGACAATGATAGCAGCGCGCGCGCGCGCGCGCGCGCACACACACACACACACACACACGCACACGCACAGGACACAGTGCAGACAGCCTTTCTCACCTCCACAAACAGCCAGCCTCCTCTAAGGAAGATCTCGACACCCAAACAAAACAAGAACTTTGTAACAAGCAGGGTTTTTCTTAGAATTATAGAAGACTTTTGTAGCCAGTAAACAGGCACACCAGCACGCATGGGTCATACCTCTTCTGGTAGTGCTGCAGCAATGCGAGTGTTTCGTCGACAGTGAAGCGAGGCACGGTCACCCGCACGCCCTTAGGCACCCCCGGCATGCAGCACTGCAGGGTGCTATTCTTAGGTGCCTCAAACACAGCATACAGGACGCACTACCAACGCAGACACACCTCTTCTGGTAGTGCTGCAGCAGTGCGAGTGTTTCGTCGACAGTGAAGCGCGGCACGGTCACCCGCACGCCCTTAGGGACCCCCGGCAGCACTGCAGGTAGCTTCCCCACTGCTATGGACTCAGAGAATGCAGCTGCCATGATGCCCCTGGCTTGCAAGGGACGGAAGGCGCTCACCTGAGAGTGGAACAAGGGCAGGGTGGACAACGAAGGGGTATACAAGGGTTGAGACACAAGCAGAACAATTTCTGAGGTGTGACTTGAGGCAGAAGCACCGGTGGCAGCACTGCAGGCAGCCTCCCCACTGCTATGAACTCGGAGAACGCAGCTGCCATGATGCCACTGCCTTGCAAAAGGACGCCTCAAAAGCCCATCTACATCATCACACCACCCGCCACACTTATACCACCACCCACCCCACCACCCACCTCCCACCACCCGCCACACTTATACCACCACCCACCCCACCACCCACCTCCCACCACCCACCACACACACACGGCACACCACACACCACCCACCACACACACACGGCACACCACACACCACCCACCACCCACCTCCCACCACCCACCATGCGCATCTCTCCAGCATGTATCTGCCTCCGACTTCTGTCTCCTGTTGACTCGAAGTACCCCGCGAAGGTGAACCACGCGTTGAACTGCTCGCACACACACACACGGGGGTGGGAGAGGGGAAGATTCTTTAGGCGCCTCAGAAATCTCCGCAGCATGTATCTGCCTCCGGCTTCTGTCTCCCGTGGACTCGAAGAAGCCTGCAAATGTGAACCACGCGTTGAACTGCACTCACGCAGTAAGGGAGAGAAAAACAGGGGGCGCATAGAAGGTAAGGGCGGGAAACTATCAGCATAGCCCACACGGCATCTTCTCCTGTTGACTCAAAGAAGCCCGCAAATGTGAACCATGCATTGAACTGCACTCACACACACACACGAGGGGGAGGGGGGAATGAAGGCGGCAGGAGAGGGGGAAACAGGGTGCGAACGCTTTTCACAGCGTTAATCCTTCGACCAAACCACGACTTTGGTGGCTGCAAACGTATTATCCTCTCTGACTGCTTGTGTCCTCCCTATCCCCTCTCCTGTACTGCATGTCCCGTCCCATGTCTCCTCCCCTCTCATCGAAATTAGCAACAAACCTGGAAGAAACAGATGACATTCTTGCTAGTTCCTGCCTCAGCGGAACCACGGCACTGGTGGTTGCGTCCCCACCATCCACCCCGCCTCCCTTCCCATTCTCCCTCCCTCATCTCACCTCGTCAACAGCAATCATGGTGGGAACAGCAGTCACTCTTCCCAGCTCCTCTCTCAGCCGAATCATTGCACTGGTGATAGTGTTCCCACCATCTACCCCCCTTCTCTCCCTCCCCATTCCCCCACCTCCCCATTTCCCCACTCTCTCACCTCATCCACAGCAATCATGGTGGGCACAGAAGCGACTCTTCCCAGCTCCTCTCTCAGCCGAACCACCATCTGTGGCCGTGCCCCGACCATCTACTCTCCCCTCTCTCTCTCTTCCCCACTCTATCTTCCTCATCTCACCTCATCCACAGCAATCATGGTGGGGACAGAAGTAACTCTTCCCAGCTCCTCTCTCAGCCGAACCACAACACTCGTGGCAGCATGTGAGTGGTCCGCTCCATACTTCACGAGATCTCCCAGCGACCAATCAGAGCCCGGCGATACGACCTGGCTGCCCCGAGCCAAGCCGATGCCTGGCCCCTCCCCTAAAGTGATTGGCTCGGGCAGCTGAACGGGCAGAGAGGACAAAAGCTCCTGGTGGGCTGCAAGAAACGACTGTGGCAGGGTGGTGGAAAGGGGAGAAAAGGGGACGGTGAATAAAACACCCGTACTGCATTGAATTAACTCAAGAATGGTTAATTCTAATAATGCCACTCAGAACACTCGTCACACTGAATCCACTCAAGCAGCTGGAAAGCGTAGTAATTGCATTAACGATCATCGCACCTTGAGTGCTGCTTGTGCTTGTACGGGGGTATCCCAAATCGCCTTTCTTCTCCCTCCACCTCCCACCCTCCCTTCTCCTCCATCCTCCACCCTCCCTCCTTCCTCTCCCCCCTCCTCTCCTTCAGTCTCAGGATGTTTGTAGTACAATCCGTTATTCGTCCATTTTCTTGCCTTGGGCACGTAAAACACCAACCACCCGTTTGCACGGGCCCAGAGCACAGAGGTCAGCAGGAGACAAGTTTTTCCGCTGCCCGGATGGCCTCGGAGCAGAAACGAGCCAGGGGAGGAATTATTAACCTTCCCTTCAGGGCTGTCGGTAGGTTCCACGAGACTGTTAGAGTCTGATGAGCTGGACTGGTGATCTCGGGCAGCTTGAAGCTTGTGGATGAAATCTTTTGTGGCTGCCCGAAGAAGAATGGCACGGGACTTAGAGGCCTCAAACTCTTTTTCCATTGAAGGAGGGAGGCCCTCGGGTAGATACTGCTGCAAATGCTCCTCACTGCAGAGAGTGTGTGTGGGAGAGAGTGAGTGTGAGGGAATGTGAGAGAGAGTGTGAGTGTGAGTGTGTGTGTGTGTGTGGGTGTGAGACACCTGGGTGAATATTACTGCAGATGCTTATCACTCCAAAGAGAGTAAGGATGCTAACAACATACCTGAACTTACCTGATGTTACCTAACCTTGCCTAACCTCAACCAACAGTACCGAACCTCACCCAAGCTTACCTAAGCTCGAACAGGGTATTCTCTTGAAGGTCCAAAATATCTTTAGGATGAACCGACGTCAACATGACGTCACCTTCCCCCCCTTCCCCCGCATCTCCTGCATTCTCCGCCTCCTTCTTCCCCGCTTGCACTGATCCCTTCGCGCCCGAGCCGCCGGCCTTCGCGCTCGCCTTGGGTGCATCTGTACTGAACTGCCTCGACCAATCCGCAATTGCCACGCGTCCCTGCGAGGACCCAAAAATCTCCGAAGAACGACAAATCTGAGGTCTGATCGATCGCGATTCGAAGGGGCTATTGGAAGTCACTGGAAGCGAATCGCCGAATCGCTTTAAAGCCCGGCCTAGAGTCTTCTGATATTCCGGCGATCTTTCCTCATATAAGGCTCGTCCTGCAATCTCTCCCCTATCATAACAACAATGACGGCTGTCCGTTAGTTTCTCGACGTCCGGGAGGAGGAAACTGCCGGCCAGGGAAGCTAGCCGACCGTCGTTGACTCTGCCGTCGGCTCGCGCCGAGGTAGGGCGAAGCCCGGCGGCGCGAATCAGAGGGCGCCACATGGGATCAAGACGTCGAACGCGATCGGCGGACAAAACCGCGGTGCAGAAGAGCGATTCTTGTGGTGCTGATGAAAGGAGGTCGATCGTGTGAAAGAAAAGTAATATGTTAGTAGATTTTCCCGATAACGCTAAAAAATTGCTGCAACCAGTTTATTACATGCTCTGCGTAAGTCTAATACAATTGTACTAAGAGGCGAGATACATATTTTTGTACAGATTGTGAAAGCTTGCGATTTGCCTTGCAAATGCAACGTCTCATTTCAACTGGCAAGTACAAGATTTTATCGTCCAAGCATTATACAACAGAATAGCATTGTGCATCTTATGCTAGGGTGGGGGGGCGGGAAACTTGAACTTGAAAGTTCGAAATGAAAAACGTGGGTGAAGGCCAAATGGCCTTCGCCCCCTCTTTTGTACCAAAAAGAGGGGAAGTAGCGGTTCGCCGAAGCCTTTGCTTCGGTACAATTCGCTTCGCTATTCACAATACACAATTTTAGAAGGTGTTTCACTTTCAAAAATTTATATATTGTGAAAGCTTGCGATTTGCCTTGCAAATGCAACGTCTCATTTCAACTGGGTCTTCTTAGACATGTGGAGGGGAAGTTGGCGGTGTCTCGTAATGGTGTGACGATGCTGTGAGGGGGAAGGTGCGTGGGCTTCATCCTGGATGTCGCGAGAAGCTGCGATAAGGTGTTCCTGCGAGATAGTCACATATAGGTCCTTTGCGGTCTCGCTTCGCCAACGCCCAAGTCGTTTGAAGATGCGATCTGGGACTCCCGCACTAGCTGCAACCGTGGCAGCTCCTTTGCGAAAGGAGTGGGTGCCAAGGTGTGTTGGGTCAATTCCTGCGGCTTCGAACGCTTGCATACACCATGTACGGATGGTGGTGTACGATGGGGCGGTGTCTAATGCGGACGGCGGCGAGCTGCGGCGGAAAACGCGGATCAGCGGCCCTTTGGATGTCGGTCCGTATTCCGCTAGCCGAATGAACTGGCGGGTGCACCGCACCGGACAGAGTGGTTCGTCAGTTGTGGCGACTGGGACCCATACACCCCTGCCCTCCTGGTCGGTCTTTGAGTGTGGGATTAGTAGCCACATTGCCGTTGCCTCGAATTGGATGTCCTCCCATTGGATAGCCACTAAGTCCGAGAAGCGCAAGAATGCTGAGTACATGAGCAACACAATGAGGCCTTTCTGATATGTGCCTGGTTGGCTCGATTAGAGGAATGGCCTAGCCATCGCGTGAACCTGATGAAGGGAGACGGGTTCCTTCTCCCGTGCTGGTCGGGGGCAGTGTCTTTTGGCGTAATCGCGTACTTGTGTCGTGAACGGGCCGCATGTTGGGTTAGCGGAGCCTGTCATTCGGTGGGCGAAGCTAATCGCGGCACATGTGAGCTGCACGCTGGAGACGGTGGCCTTGTGGTTGATCGCATGCACCAGGTAGAGTGCGACTGTGAGGTCCGCGGCAGGCAGGAAGGCCGCTTTTGCCTTGACGCAAAAACTCCTAAACTTCTCCCAATAAGGTTCGTATGTGTTGATTGTTGAGTCGGGCCGTGTCTGTGCCGTCATTAACAGTAGCTGCTGATGCAGCTTCGGAATCATATCTGACATCATTAGGAAAAAAATGTTCATAGATTAGGAATGGAAGTTAATTTGAAGTGCAAGGATTCTGCTAACAGGGAGACCGGCTCCTGAGAATGCGCCAGTATGCAAACCGACATGCAAGCACTGGCTACCGCTAGCAAGATGCAAACACGATGTTACGCCGACTGCCCAGGTCCTGGGCGAAGGCCGGAGCAGGGGCCACCATGATGCACAAGTCCATTCGGGAATGACTAGCGTCAGCGTAGCAGATGTGCGCGCGGCGTGGCGCAGGGTGGCCGGGATCAGGTGAGGAGGGGGAAACGCAAATCCGTGTTCTGATCCCCAGTCCTGCGAGAAGGCGTTGACGGCAGTTGCACGTGGGTGGGGGACCTTCGAAAAGAAACGCGAGAGTTGCGCGTTATTGGCGTTTGCAAAAAGGTCAACCGTGTGTGGTCCCCAACGCCTCTCAAGTAATCGGAACCAAGGGAGTTTCAATGAATAGTCGTCGTTGTCTTCTAGCTTGGAGAGTGCGTCTGCCTCTACGTTGAGAGTCTGAGGGATCCATTCAATTGCCAGCCGAATTTCGTTTGCCATGCACAGTGCGATGATGGACTTGCATAAGAGGGTGAGCTCGGGTTGCCCAGAACCACCTTTACGAAGAATGAAGAATACGCACTGGTTGTCCACGCGCATGAGCACATGGCGGCCTTGAATTCGGTTTGAGAATGTGCGCAGGGCCCAGAGCACGCCTTCGAGCTCTCGGCGTGTACTCGAGGTGGTGAGGAGCTCGTGCGGCATTGGGCTGCTGCCTTGCAGGTTTTCTCCAGGGAACGAAGCTAGGGTCGCACCCCAACTGTGAGCGCTTGCGTCCACATGAATCACCGTGTCGATGCTGTGGGGCATGTGAAACGGCGCCCCGTTAAAACGATCGAAATTGTCGAGCCAGAAGTTGAGCTCGTCACGAGCCTCCAAGGTCAGGTGTGTTCTGCCATTCCATGATGGCGCAGTATTGATGAGTTCTAGGAGTTGGTGACTGAATGCTCGTGCCGTTGTGCCAAGAGCCAGCGCCATGGAAGCGAGGATGCCGGTGACCCGTGCGACAAGGCGGATTGGTATCCGTTGTCCACGCTCGTAGGCGGTGAGAAGCACCCGGAGCGTATGCATGAGTTGCGCTCGACGTTCGGGGCCGATGGTGAATCTTCCTGATTGAGTGTCCAACTCCATCCCGAGAAACTTCAGTTTTTGGGTCGGGGTGAGATGCGATTTTTTAGCGTTGATGACAAGGCCCGACTGTCGTAGGTCCCGAATGATTGCATTACGTGTCGCGCGTGCGTCCTCCTTCGATTGGCAGAGGAATAAGATATCATCCACATATGGAATGACTCGAGTACCTTGCGCACGCCATTTCCGAGCCAGTTGTTTGATCAATTGAGTGAAAAGGAAGGGTGCGGTTGCAAGGCCGAACGGTAACGACTTGAAGTAGTAATCCGTGCCGTCGAATTGAAATCCCAGGAACTTCCAGCAGGACGGGTGGATATCGACGTGATGGTATCCGGACTTCAGGTCGATGGAGAACATCCAGTCGCCCGGTTGTGCCAACTCGGCGACTCGCGCCAAGCCTTCGTACTTGAATTTAGGAATAACGAGGTACTGGTCGACTTTTCTCAAGTCCAAGATAAGGCGACACTTGTCGCGCTGTTCCACGACGTTTAGTGGACTAGTACATGCGACGAGGAGTGGGCCCTCTGCGACTGCTGCTGCACTGGACGAGAGCAAGTCAGAGATTGCCGATCGTGTAAACTCGCTATGCCGCTCGACGCCGGCATGATTCTTGTCACGAAACGACGGTGGTGGGGCCGCTTTCCAAGGAAGCCAATATCCATTTGCTATGACTGACAGGATGAGACTGCTCTCGCACCATGAGGCCCACCAAGCGATAGCTTGGCGCAATCGACCCCCCATGGTGGTGACTTCCTTGTCAGTGATCGCATGCTCCATGGTCTTACTCCATTCGCCCGGTCGTGAGGGACAAGCGCCTGCCATGGCGGTTGGGTTGGGTCAACAGTAGTCGTATATCAACCCTTTTAGGTCAAGCCACAAGGCGCTCTTCCAACGTGAACATGCTATGCGAGTAGAACGAGGAAGAGTTCATAAGAATCAATCAGACGAACGTTGTAAAAACGACATGAACATGTATCTCGCACCAACCAACTTCCCGCGTGCTTGTGCACGCCCCAACAGCGAGGCATTAGAAACGTAGGAGGTAAGAGCAGTGACGCAGTTGCACACAATGCTACCGAATTATTCCCCTTCTCCCTCTCTCTCGTGCCCACAATGATGTTTTTTTTTTTTTTTTTTTTTTTTGCCATGTGTGCTAGGGGGTGTGAATTGCAGGGTCTCGCTCCCCTTGTCCTCCTATCTCGAGGCGTGGTTTAATGATTCTCGCACCACCGGTGGTTTGCCTCAATGGTTGTTGGTGAAAACATGTGTTCTTGAATCCCTTCCCTCTGCTTTCTCTCTTGCTTTTTTTTTTTTTTTTTTTTTTTTTTTTTTTTTTTGCCATGTCATGGCTTGGATAGGGACCATGCACCATAGGGGCCAGCGGCCTGGATCACACTTCCAATATAGCATTACAGTTTCACGGCCACCCGGGCCACACACGTGCACACGCACACACACACACACACTTTGTTTTTTTTTTTTTTTTTTTTTTTTTTTTTTTTTTTTTTTACTGGCCTAGAGCAATCCTTGCATCTAGCCTCGGCTAAACAGCCCACTCAAGGACCCCCTGGTCCTGTCCCGCCCTTCCACAACTCCTTTCCAAGGCAACAAGGCGTGGGACGCCTTGGGGCAATGAGAGGAGGGGTGGCAAGGGATGTTCGGGCTTCGCTCACACCACCGGTGCGGGCCCATTGCCCCCATGGCCTCCATGGGGGCACGCGCTTGCCATGTGGCCGTGCTGGCCACAGCGGAAGCAGGTGCCTTTGAAGCCCCGGCAGCCACTTCCTCCTCCCATGCTCTTCGGCATGAATGCGGCGGGCTCACGAGAGAAAGAACGATTCCCGCGGGGGAATCCGGTCTTCATGCGCTTGAGCGCCGCCATATCCGCCACCGCCATTTTGAAGGAGCGCGACGTCAGCACCACTGTAGTCTTCAGCAGCTGGTAGCGTTCAGCCACGTCGAAGCCCGCGTGGTCGGCGACGACCAACACGTCGAAGCGGCGCTTGATGAGATCTTGAGCTTGGGAAACGGTTTTGAGTGCGGCGGTCGCGTCCCCACCGCGGATTTTGTGCTCCACGTGCGCGAGGTAAGTCTGGAGCGCTTCGAATACTTCCGCCTGGTCACGAACGCCCTTGCGGTTGAAGGCGGCGGCCGCGGTCGAAGGATGAGGAGAGGGGAGAGGGGGAAGGAGATCGTTAGACAAATGCGGAGAAGGACTATTTGGCTCCTCACCCTCGTCGCTGTCAGAGTCGGAATCGATGTCGACAGGGGCGGCCGGCTCTTCTTCGACAGCAGGCGCCTTTCCTTTGTCGGCGCGGGTGGGAGCGGCAACACGAGCGGAGGTAGAGATGTTGTTGCGCGCATTTGCAGTTTTAGCGGATGCGGAAATATCCGATTCGATTGTAGCTGCAGGCGTCGTTACAGCAGGGGCCGCGGCCTGCTTTTGAAGAAGCGCCAGCAGTGCCGCAAGTTGAGAGGGCGAGAGATTCGCTGCCGCCCCGTCTGACGCAGCACAATCTGTCGCCCTGCGCTTGGGGGGCGCGCGAGATCCGCTCGGATCTGCGGCGGCGGCAGCAGGGGTGGCGACGAAGTCGCCATCATTGTTGCCGCCTGCAGGCCCTCGAGCCTGCGTGTGGCTCGCGCGTGGCTGGGACGGTCGCGCGACTGTTCCGCCCTCGCCGAGCAGCACGTCGACCCCCGTGTGGGTGCCTTCGGCGTGATTCTCGGCGGGGCGTTTCCTTTTCTCCGCGCTTGTTTCCCGAGGCGATTTTTCAAGCCCCGTCGACTGACGAGCGGGAGAGTCCTTAGCCCCGGGTGTATTATTGTTGGTCTGCGCCATCGTCGATAAGTTCCGCTCGAGGATGTCGGAGAGGAGCGTTGACGGAGAAGTGAAGCGAGGGAGAGACTTGACCCTCGCCAGCTTGGACGAGAAATCTCGAAACTTGAACTTGAAAGTTCGAAATGAAAAACGTGGGTGAAGGCCAAATGGCCTTCGCCCCCTCTTTTGTACCGAAAAGAGGGGAAGTAGCGGTTCGCCGAAGCCTTTGCTTCGGTACAATTCGCTTCGCTATTCACAATACACAATTTTAGAAAGTGTTTCACTTTCAAAAATTTACATTTCTCTACAGCATTGCTCTACGATTGTCCTCCCACACCGTGTGCACTTTTTGCCCCACTCTACAAACAACCTTGCCCACATTCACTCGGATGCAAAGAGGAAGACCACCACACGACATTTGTAAGCTATGTGCGATGGAGAGTAACTGGTCGAGGTGGTTACCAGCTACCCAGAGCAGGGACACGTGTGGGCGTGGGTTCTGAAATTAACACATGGACACACACACAGATATGGTACGTCCGCGAGTGTGAGTAAGAGCAAAAAGGGTTTTGATGGGTATGCAGTGCATGTGAGCAGCTTAGGAGAACGAGAGGTAGGTACAGGGAGGGATGTGGGTTGGCGGATAAGGGGATATGAGAAGGAGAAGCGGTAGGCAAAGGAAAACTCAAGTATATCTCAAAATACGGAGGCAAAAGAAGAATAGCAAGGGTGGATAACATACATCATAGTACGGAGGAAGACCGTGAACAGCATATGCCTGGTCGATGCAATGAACCAGAGAGGCGAACTGGGGGCGGGCAGACAGGAAAGTGGTGTCAGAGCGAAGAGAGGAATGTAGAAATCTAGTGGAGGTATGGGGAGTGTTTTATCAGAAAACCGAAAGTTGTGAGGCACAACAAAGTTGGAGGTATGGGGAACAAAGTTGTGAGGCACAACAAAGTTGGAGGTGTGGGTAACAAAGTTGTGAGGCACAACAAATTTGGAGGTATGGGTAACAAAGTTGTGAGGCACAACAAAGTTGGAGGTGTAGGTAACAAAGTTGTGAGGCACAACAAAGTTGGAGGTATGGGTAACAAAGTTGTGAGGCACAACAAAGTTGGAGGTATGGGTAACAAAGTTGTGAGGCACAACAAAGTTGGAGGTATGGGTAACAAAGTTGTGAGGCACAACAAAGTTGGAGGTATGGGTAACAAAGTTGTGAGGCACAACAAAGTTGGAGGTATGGGTAACAAAGTTGTGAGGCACAACAAAGTTGGAGGTATGGGTAACAAAGTTGTGAGGCACAACAAAGTTGGAGGTATGGGTAACAAAGTTGTGAGGCACAACAAAGTTGGCGGTATGGGTAACAAAGTTGTGAGGCACAGTAAAAGGCAAGCTGGCATGGAGCACGTGGGTCAGTGGTGAGACAGGGACGAGGGGGATTGCAAACAGGGCGGTGCAGTGGGGGAATGAGGAGTGCTGAGCATTAGAGGAAAAACAAGAGGTCTGAATCACAAGAGCTACAAAATCAGAACTGAAGAAGGGTCAGGGCCAAAAGAGGAGTTCCAATCACACCTCAGGCAGTCCCTCCCGGGCAGCTTCAAGGGCGAGGAAGGAGCGAGTCTTCTCATCGTTAACAAATGCCGTCCACTTGTCCAAATGCAAGTGGAAGCTGCTGCCGTGGAGGGGAAGCGGGGGGAGTGAGTAACAAGTGATGGAAAGAGAAAAGCAGCGAGTCTTATCATCGTTGACAAATGCCGTCCACTTGTCCAAATGCAAGTGGAAGCTGGTGCCGTGGAGGGGAAAGTGACAGGCACTAGAAGAGAGGGGGAAGTGCAAGGATTGAGTCATCTTGTTGGTAGTAAACGCTGACTTGTCCAATGGCTGAGACGAGAGTAGAAAGAGTGAGAAGAGGAGAGAGGGAGGGAGGGAGGAAGGGAGGGAAGGAGGGAGGGAGGGAGGGAGAGAGAGAGCAACAGCAGCAGGATAATTATCATACTAATCACCTTCCTACCTTACCGTTTTTGTGGCTTGAGTCGCAAGCGCAGCAGGCTGAGAAGGGAGTCGATTTGATGGAAGCGGATGGGGACAGTGCGAGCAGCCGTCATGTGAACCTCCCCTGTAACCAGGGCATGCATTGCAGCCGCAGTAGTAGCACCACCACCAGCACCAGTAACAGTAGCACCAAAACCACAATCAGCAATAGCAGCACCACCACCACCAACACCAGCAACAGCAGCTTTGAGTGAGTCCGGGTCCACGGGTGCCAGTGCAGGGAGGGCGCTGATGGCAGTGCGGAGGTGCGATTGGAGGAGCGGCTGGAGAGAGGCAGGGATGGTAACTGCAGGGGGGTGTGGCATGGGGGATATGGGAAGGATGGGGAAGTCTGAGAGTAGGTAAATGGGAGGGGTCTGGTTGCGAAGGGTGGGTCTAATTTGAGGAGCGATTGAAGTGGGGAAGTCTGTGGATAGAATAAAGAGAGTGAGTGTCTGAGGAGCGGACAGGAATGAATGGAGAGTTGGTTGAGAAGTGAAACGAGTCACGAAATTGCTTCAATCGTATAGTTTTGACAGAGAAATGGTCAGGAGCCAGCTCGCTCACTCTCACCTGGAATGAAGACATGAACGGCGAAGTTGCCCTCAACGTGGGGGAAGGTTCGCACTCTCCCTCCGTAATCCGCTTTGACCTTCGCTTTGCTAGCACCCTCACCTGAGCAGAGCACGAGCATGTGGAAATCATGACGGCGGGGTAGCGGGAAGGGGAAGAGGGAGAAAAGGGGGAGGGCGGGAAAGGAGGGAGGCGGGGAAGGGGAGAACGAGGGGAAGGAGATTTGTGGGAAAGAGAGGGGATGTAGGGAACCATGGTCAGACTTGTGATCAGAGCGACGTGCTGACACGTGTAAAAGGCTTCATTTAAAAGGTATAGGCACGGAAGGACAACAGAGATCGGCCAAGCCTTGTGCATCAACCCAACCTTGAGGATCAGCGAAAAGGTCATCTGGAGGAGGTGGAAGAAACACTGCTGGAGCAGCTGCTGCTCCTGCTGGTGACGATGATGATGATGACAATGGCAATGAGAATCTTCGAGTCTGATCTCTTGAGCCAGACCGTCGGTCTACTGATGTCGCATCCTTTCCCTGTTTCCCGCCGGTCTCAGCTGACATACTCTCTCGGTCATGCATCTTGTCTGACGAGTTCTGTCTGTCGCTCCTCTCCGCTGACGGATTCCGCCTGTCCTCGTCACAGTCACGCCTATTAGCCGTCTCCAGGGTTTCAGAAACACTGCCATTTCCGCTTCTTTCTGCATCTGTGTGTTCGCCTCCTCTCCTCTCACCGACTTCTCTCCTCTCTTCGGCTTCTCTTGTCGCTTCCTCTCCCCGCGTTCCACCACTCGTCGGGTCTCCCAGGAAAATCCGTCTCTTTTTACATCCGGCGTACCCTTTCCCATCATTCACGGTTTCCGACTTCTCCCCTTCCCGTCTATCTGCATCCTCTGCCTCGTTTCTTGTAGCCTTTCCAACAGTCCCGTCCTCATGTTCTTTATCTCCGTTCAGGCCCACGTCTTTCTCCTCATCTTCGTCGCTCGCATATGCCGCGAACAGTGCGTCCATGTCGGAAATTAATTTGACAGGTATGTTAGCAACAGCCCCAACGAGCTCTAGGTGGGTAATCGGCTTTCGGGACTCGCTTTGAAGTGCTTGGTGCTCGGCACTGTGGGAACATTCATTTAGTCTGCTTCTTTTATGGGTAAAGATCCTCTACATGAAACATGAGCCATTACAATCACTGAAAATCATGAATCGTCACATCCGAGTTTGCAGAATGCAATTGGAGGTCATTCCTATGCCTGATGAAAACTGGCGTAACTCATGATATGATATTTTATTGTTTTTTTCATTTGATCATTTATGTGCGTGAACTATTTCGCCGAGGAACTTTTGTACTTTGCAAAAGGCTCAACCGAGATAATAAGTACAACCTTCATTAACGAAATTCCGCTGTACACAGCTGGCTAGTGGATTGTAACGATCTGTTTTCAAACGCAGCAGCAGATCATCATTGCAGTTCGGCTGTGCATCACTCCTACAGTGTTTCCCTTGCCAAATTCTCGCCACTCCCGAAGCCTCTACTGTCTATTTATGTCAACAGAAGTGACATCCCGTCAAGAACGGCTGGCCTGTAAAAATTCGTAGTTGACTGCTGGACCTTCGATTGCAATGGGTGTCAGCTCAGACTTGTTCCCGGCTAATCGGCGGAGTGGCATTGAGCCTGACAGGAGTAGAAGGCCTTTATCGACACCGCCTAAGCCAAACAAACAGCCAAATTCCAAGATGCTTTCAGCTCCCAAAAGTGTGAATGTTGCAAAGATTCTTGCAGCTGCGCGAAGTGAGAGGGACAACCCAGTCCCTGACAAGGTTTGTTCATCGTTCCGTTCTTGCTGTCCCGTCGCTTTCGCTATTACCATTTTGCGGTCAACTGAGCAATGTGAATGACGCAGGTGAAAGAAGCACTACCTATTTACATCTCCGAGAAAGGGATTAATAAGGACAGCATTCCAGAAGTCGTAAAAGGCACGGACGAGCATCTTGCTGTTCCTGTATTAGACTCGCTGGCAGGTTCACAATTAAGTATCAGTCATCCAGAAGAAGTTACCAGTACTCCAACAAATGACATTCAGGCAGGCTTGAGAGAAATTCTTGCTCAAAGCGCTGAACGTGGAATGGCACGTAACAATTTTTCCCTTCATCAGGTGGTTGAAGGTTCAGAAGTCAAATCCAGCAGCGGTCCCACAACCAAAGATACTGTGCTTTCCTTTCTTCAAAAAGTTGAGGAGGCAACATTATGCCAGCCTGATAAATCAGCTGAACTCTATAATGCTCTTTGTGGTGAGTTCCAACTGGCGGGTCTATCTGCGGAGAAGCTGAGGCTTCTGGTGAAGGCTGTAAACAAGCTACTCCACACACCACATGGTACCACCAAGCCAGCGACTATTGACAGGCTGTATCTGATCGGCATCCTGGTCATGTGCCTTCTGCTGCTGCCAGCCATTCTATTCGTTTTCAATGGCTCAGAGGTCATTGATGACATATTGGTGCCCACATAAGCTGAGGTAGTGTTCTCCTGCCAGAATATACCGTGCTGAGGCATTCCTGAACATTCTGAAAGCATTGCTGCGCTGGTACCCTGTTTCTTCTGCTTCAGCGCCACATGGACACTGCTCTGCTCTTGAACATAATACTTTATCGATGGTTACCAAATAACAGGACAAATAACCAGCCAGCTGCACAACCTTCTTAGACACTGAAGGTAATCGAGTCAACACTCAGAAAAGATGAACGAAATCATAGGCAAGCCTGCAACATGTGAGATTGCAAAGTCAGAAAACTTAGGGGGTAACTGAGCACAGGAGAACACGGCGGAACGAATGAGCAATGAAGACTTACGTCCAGAAGAGAACGAATGACTGACAGGTTGCAGAAACCATGTTATCATCCATACATGAACATTCACGCATTAGTGATCATCAAAATCAAGAGAGAGGGCAGTGGAAAGGGAGGGTTTGAAGTTTGTTACTGGAAGATGAGAAGACCAAGGGAAGTTGAAAGCGGCGGATGACAAGCACTTAACAACCCTTGCACCAAAACTGAAATACAGCATGTCTTGTTGGCAAAAGAACAGCTTGGAACGATGATAGGACTCACCATAGCACCTTGCGTGAGGCCATCCATTCCACCAATCCGTTGCCAAGTGTCAAAGTACTTGTTTATGTGAAACCCAGTCTTAATAAACAGGCCGACAGCCCCAAGGGCCATGACAAATATGTAGCAAAGGAAACCTGATATTCCTGTCAGACCTAATATGCCTGCCACTACACCTGCTATAATGGCAAGGTATGTGCGACTGGATGAGGGTAAGATGGGGAGAACAGGGGAGGGGGGGGGGGGGGGGGGGGGGGGAGGGGGGGGGAGAGGGGGAAAGTGGGGAAGAGAGGGAGCGGGAGAGGGGGGGGGGAGGGGGGGGGAGAGGGGAGACTGTGATGGAAGAGAGAACAGGAGGTATGTTTCCTTCTAAGACGAACGACGAAGTCAAAGGGGTTGGATTTCAGTTATCGAAGAATAAAAACGTCCGAAGTGCGCTTTCGAGGTACCGGACCTGAGGTTCACAGCGGCGAGGTTCTTCTGAAGATTCGGTCCAGAAAATAGTGGCGCAGGAGGGCTTTGTTGTACAGCCGGCTCAGACGGCTTCTGTTGCTTGGCAGATTGCCGTTGCTTCGACGCCACTGCCGCGATCGAGGAGAGAGGGAAGGGTATTGAGTCCACGATTGCTCGGTAACATGGCACAAAGCTTTGCGAAGATCGAGTCGCGCGGGTAGAATGACGTGCAAGGTCATCAAATCGCATAAACGCTTCGGAACTACCAGCCGCTCGCACGCATCGACCTCCTACGAAGCGCACGACGGAACGACAAACGAATCCAGGCGACGGACGGACGATGGACACAAAGAGCCATGACAGCGTGCGTCGTACGACCTACCAGATCGCTCCATGATGTCAGTGTTGAATTCAGGGCGCTTTACGGGCGTAACCTAAATCGGCTAGGTTACACTAAGTTTCAAGGCAGTCAAAAACTCCGAGTGATGAAAGTGGCGGCGTCGAAAGCGGCGTCGGGTGAGGAAGGTCAAAGCAGGCCGGAGACCGATTTGTGAGAAAACTTGGTTTTGTCACATTCAAATTTATAAGACCCAACCTTTACAATCCCCGTGCTTGCGTTGTGCACTGTATACCCGCTAATAGGTGTCTGCCACCAACCATTTCCTTCCCAACCATTTCTTCCTCCCACCAAACTCTCTCTCGCTCCCTCTCTCTCCCTCTCCATCACTTCTCCCCATCAAGAAAATTTATAGGCACACTGCCATTTCCCGAAGCACGGTTACCATTTCCCAAGGCACGCTTACCTTCTTCCGAGCCACGATTGCAGAAGCACTATTTCGTTGCTTCAATCGCGTGTCATTCTCAGCCATTGCTGACGTTTTGTAGCTGTTGGTGTCGGCCACCCAATCATTGTCGGTTTTCCAGGCAACGCCTGCACCTCGAGGCACCAGTACTGGTAGTAGCATCTTTGCAACATCAATTCGTTTTGCCTTACTCTCCGTTTTAGGGTTCTCTATAGATGTCCAGTCGGTTTTTTTCGTTATTGCTTCGGCCTGCGTAATTCTCTATAGCGCGTACGAGCCAAGTAGCCCGTCTTAATCAAGGATGTTAAAGGATACGGACGATCCCGATGGTGCATCGCGGCGTTTTACAAGGGCGAGCAGCAGCCAATCAGCAACTTGCTTGCGTTCCGTATCTCGTGTAGATCTCCGGTCGTAAGACACGAAACCGTGCTGAATTAAACAGATTTTGGTCGTAAATAGATCGTGATTGTGGTAAACCTCTTTTCGCATTTCTTCGTAGGCATCTTTCCGGCTCGCCCTCAAGGAGTTGAAGTTATCCACATCTCCGCGTCGCTATTTAATCACCGCCGTCAAAATGGGGATCAAGGACAACCGCATGATGATGCGCGGTCCGCAGCGGGCCCCCCGAACCGTCATCGACCGCGCATTGGTCATTCTCGTCGCGCTGATGTGGATCGCGGTGGCGCTGACGTGGCAAGCGGCTCGCTGGAACATCCAGAAAGCGCAAAAGGAAGCTTCCAACCCAGACCAGCGCGCGCAGGCGCAGAAGGGCGACTGGTGGGAGGAATCCATGGCTGGAAAGCAGAAGGCGAAAGAAATGGCAGCGGCGAAAGCAGCAGCAGCTAAGGAAGCTGGATACGACAGCCAGATTACGATCGGCAGGAGTGGAAGGGAGTACGGTGGGGTTAGCAGCGGTGAGGGGGGTTCGCGGTATGCTGCGCGCGCAACCGTGGGCGGGGATTTGGGGGACCGGCTGTCGCTCGGGGGGGATGAGTTGGAAGATTACGCACGCCAGGATGTTGCTGTAGTGGATAACACTAAACGGAGACGGATGAAAGCTAGTACCGGGGACGGGCACTCGGATCGGTCGCGGATATGGCACCCCGTGACGGAAGACGACGACATTCAAGACGTGCCTATAGACGTGCGGTCTATAAAGAGGATAAGACGGCGGACGGACATGGACGGGGAGGTGGACTGGCCGATCGAAGTGAGAACGACGCGAAGGGTCAAGCGGCGCGGGACGCATAATGATATTAATAGTCATAGCCATAGCCTTGATCATAGCCTCGGTCATGGTCACGGAGATGGGGATGGTGACCGTGGTAGCGGGGTTAAAGCTCATGGTGTGGGGGGTGGGGGTGGTGGCGGAAGGGAGGCGAGCGGCGAGGAGGAAGGGGGATCTGGGATGGTGGCGGGGAAGCGGAGGCTGTTGGCGGAAGAGCAGAGAGGATGGGACGGGGGAGGGGGGCTAGAAGCGGAAGCGGAAGGGGAACGGGGAGGAGGAAGGGGAAGGGGAAGGGAAGGGGGAAGGGGGGGGGAGCAAGAAGCGCAAAGCGGGAGGGGAAGAGGAATCAACGGTGGCGACAGTGAGGATAGTGGTTTGGGAAGCCGTGGAAAATATTCGTTTAGGGTTTCAGACGACAGTACAGATACGATGGGGGGAATTCTATCGCTGGGCAGGCGCGTTCTTGCAGCTAGTGAAGCCGACGGGGTGACTTCTGAGTCGACTCAGATGTATCCACACAGAGTCGCTCTTGCAGCTAGTGAAGCTGACGGGGTGACTATTGAGACGACTCAGGAATATCAAGACAGGCACGTGTTAGCAGCTAGTGTGGCTGATGGAAAGACTGGGTTGCAAGAAAGCCGGGGAGCTAGCGTTTTGGGAGAATCCGGGGATGAAAGCAGAGAATGGGGGAGAAGACTCACTGACGGCTTTCTAAGAAGGGGGAGTGGGGATGGAGAGGGAGGGGTAGAAAGAGAGGCGGTGGCGGAGAGGGAAGAGGGGAGAATGGTGGATAGGGTGGAATATTTGAGGGAGGTGATTTTAGGGTTTGACACGAGCGGTATCAAGGGGTTGGAGGAGGTGAGGGAGGAGGTTAAGGGGCGGCATCTGGTGTTTGCATTTGAGGAGGAAGTGAGCAGTGATGACGTGGCGCCTGCTACTGTTATCAGCAGGTATGTTGGCATTCTAGGGCTTGAATGTTGAGGGCATGAAGTGGGCTTGGGGATGAGAGGGGAGTGAGAGGGCGGCGTCTGCTACTGATAATGAGCAGTGATGACGTGGTGCCTGCTACTGTTATCAGCAGGTACGGTGGGACCCTAGGATTTGAATGTTGAGGGCATGAAGTGAGATTGGCATGAGAGGCGGGTGAGAGGGCGGAGCAGCATCCGGTGTTTGCATTTGAGGAGGAAGTGAGCAGTGATGACGTGGCACATGCGTCTGTTATCAACAGGTGAGGTGATATGATGGCACAGTGGTATGATGGTAGGCTATAGCGTGGCATGGAATGGTGTGTCATGTCGTGGCATGGCCAATGATGGCGTATTATAGAATATTGTTGCAAATGAAAGAGATTGGTCGTTTGAAGTCAAACGGGAATTGCTAAGCGTCCTTCTCACATTCTGCAGCGTGTCATGCCATGCTGCCATATCTTGACATTTTCCCCTCTCATGGAATTCAGATTTCTCATGATCTTTCATCTTGTTCACATGGCAGGACACCAGAGAGGTACACTACCTCAGATTGAAGAGGGTTTTGTTGAAAATTGGATTGGACTGTTTACTGGAAGTGAACCATTCGAAGAGCCTCTATAGAATGATTGTACTGGAAGATTCTGAAAGTTCAGATTATGGATTAGTTTTGTTTCAATAGAATTCTACTAGGTGCTCATTTCTCAATCACGTCAGGAAAAACGCACACCATATTTGCTGTGTTTCTTTGTCCTTTTACACAACAACTGTCCAAAAAGATACAGAAAATCGGAGGTAGATACCATAGTTATGATGGCGATTGTTGTACCTTCTATCACTGCATGTGTGTCCATCTAGACGAGGCTGTTGACCAGTCAAATCCGAAACAAGCAGGTTGGATTTGAAGACCTAGAGCATCCCTCCCTCCCTCCTCACGTCTTCCCACCCTGTCGCATCAGAGCAAGCGTTGCCACCAGCCCAGCTGCCTTCCTTCCTCGGAACCTGATAGTCTTGCCTCCGCTCCCACCCACACCCGTTGCCCTGCCTCGCCCATAGGCCCCTAGTGCAGGAGCGGCATTGAAAGACCTAGACCATCCCCCTCACATGCCCCCTCCCTGCCTCATCAGAGCGAGAGTTGCCGCCAACCCAGCTGCCTTCCTCCCTCTGTACCTGATGGTCTTGCCTCCACTCCCACTCACACCCGTTGCCCTGCCTCCCAGCCTAGAGCATCCTTCCTCACGTCCCCCCTCCCTGCCTCATCAGAGCGAGCGTTGCTGCCAGCCTAGCTGCCTTCCTTCCTCGGTACCTGAAGTCTTGCCTCCGCTACCACTCACACTCGCTGCCCTGCCTCCCAGCCTAGAGCATCCTTCCTCACGTCCCCCCTCCCTGCCTCATCAGAGCAAGCGTTGCTGCCAACCCAGCTGCCTTCCTCCCTCTGTACCTGATGGTCTTGCCTCCACTACCACTCACACCCGGTGCCCTACCTCTACCTTTGGCCCCTCCTGCAGGGGCAGAGCTGGGTGCATCTGACCTTTGAGGCGCCTCAAGAGTTGCCCTGCCTCCACCTTTGGTCCCTCCTACAGGGGCAGAGCTGGGTGCATCTGACCTTTGAGGCGCCTCAAGAGTTGCCCTGCCTCCACCTTTGGTCCCTCCTACAGGGGCAGAGCTGGGTGCATCTGACCTTTGAGGCGCCTCAAGAGTTGCCCTGCCTCCACCTTTGGTCCCTCCTACAGGGGCAGAGCTGGGTGCATCTGCTGCTGCTGTGCCTGTAACACCTGCAGCAGGGGTGGTTACATCTAGGGCAGGCCTGGTTACATCTGGAGCAGGGCTGGTTACAAGCGGAGGAGACCTGGTTACAGGTGGCACAGGGGTGCGAGGAGTGTGGTTGCTCACACACTCAGCTACTGCAGCCCCCATTGGACCCACACCATCCTGTTGCTCCTTCTGCTTCTGCTCCTTCTGCTGCAGCTGCTCTTGCGCCCCCTGCTGCTCCTGCTCCTGCTCCTGGTCAAGCTGCTGCTGGTCTGGCTGTTTCATATGTTGCTGCGACCGTTTGTCATCCTCCATATCATTCTGACAGCTTTCTAGATCAGCTCCCCCTGTCGTCCCACCCATGAGTGCTCGCCTTTTCTGCTCCAGAAGTCTCGCCACGCTCGCCCACTGTTCCCACTTATGGGGAGCAGCAGCAGGAGAGGGTGCAGCGGCAGTGGCAGGAGCAGCGGTAGGAAGAGGTGGTGATGGTGCGGCGGTGGTGTCAGCAGCAGGAGCAGGAGCAGCAAGAGCAGCAGCAGGAGCAAGACGAGGAGGAGAAGGGGTAGCAGTGGTGGCAATAGCAGCAGTTGCCATTGCAGGAGCAGCAGCAGGAGCAGCAGGAGCGGCAGGAGCAGCAGGAGCGGCAGGAGCAGCAGCGGCACTAGAAACTGCAGGGACAGCAGCAGTGGCGGCAGCAGTGCCATCAGCAGCAGCAGCAGCAGCACCACCACCATCACCACCACCAATATCATCGAAAGCGTCGGCTCGCAACACAAGGCGAATGTCAAGAAGGGAGGAGAGGCCGACCTGGAAAGGGGTGGGAGAAGAGGGAAGCACGATCATGTGTGGTTTATTAGTCGACTCAAAAGGGGGAAGCAGCTAAAAAGGGGTAAGCAGCTCGTGACACAAGGCGAATGTCAAGAAGGGAGGAGAGGTCGACCTGGAAAGGGGTGGGAGAAGAGGGAAGCACGATCATGTGTGGTTTATTAGTCGACTCAAAAGGGGGAAGCAGCTAAAAAGGGGTAAGCAGCTCGTGACACAAGGCGAATGTCAAAAAGAGAGGAGAGTTCAACCTGGGAAGGGGTGGGAGAGGAGGGAAGCAAGATCATTTGCATGAAGAAAGATGGGAGGGGTTGAGAGTGATGTTGGGTTGTCTGAAACCACACAGCAGTACACGCATGCAGACATGCCTGCCAGTGCATGTATATGCCCACACATACACACACACACAAACACTCACACACACACACACACACACACACAAACACACACACACACACACGCACACACGCACACACCCCCACACACACACGCACACACGCACACACCCCCACACACACACCCACACACACACACACACACCCACACACCCACACACCCCCACACACACACCCACACACGCACACACACACACACACTCACACACACTCTCACCTTCAAATGACCTGTCTCATCGTAGGGAGGTTCAACCCCCACCTCATCTTCACCTCCCTCGCCCTCAGCCAATGGGAGACCACCGCCAGCTGTGCCACCAGCCTCAGCCAATGAGGGGCAGCCAGGTGTGGTTACAGAGCCCACAGGTGCGAGGTGGATGAGAGACGAGGAGGGGTCGAAGCTGACCACTCGGCCTTGCTGTTAGGGGGGGCGAGGAGGGGGAAGGTGGGGAAAGGGTAGAGGTGTGAGTGAGAGGCGAGTGAGGAGCGGGATACGAGAGAGAGAGAGTCAGAGAGCCCACAGGTGCGAGGTGGATGAGAGACGAGGAGGGGTCGAAGCTGACCACTCGGCCTTGCTGTTAGGGGGGGCGAGGAGGGGGAAGGTGGGGAAAGGGTAGAGGTGTGAGTGAGAGGCGAGTGAGGAGCGGGATACGAGAGAGAGAGAGTCAGAGAGCCCACAGGTGCGAGGTGGATGAGAGACGAGGAGGGGTCGAAGCTGACCACTCGGCCTTGCTGTTGGAGGAGAAGGGAGAAGGGTGGGTGTGTCGGTGATTGTGTGATTGGGAGTGGGGAGAAGGAGGCATGGAGGGGAGAGCAGTCAGAAGGGAGTGGAAGTCAGACGGGAAACGAGTCTGGAAACGAGACAGGAAACGAATTCTAAAAAAACAGACTCAGCATGGAGGGAGAGCAGTCAGAAGGGATTGGAAGTCAGAGGGGGAATGATGGAAACAGAATGAGGTTGTGTGATGGTGCGGAGCTAAGTTAAACGGAGGTAGCATACCCAAAGAGAAGGAACGAGAGGCTTACCCGCAATGATGAGGGCTCAGGTGTCCACGTGAGAGGCGAGAGAGCGATGATGCGATATGCGAGTATATCACCAGGCTGATTGGGAGAGAGAAGGAGAGGGAGAGGGAGAGAAAGGGAGTGGAAAGGGCGAGGACCAGAGCTGACGTTAACACACAATTTTTTTTAGTCGACTCAAAGACCAATTGAATTTGAAAGTCTGATATGTCAGAGCTCAGATTGTAACATCCCTGAAACCTCAATAATCTCAATGTTTGTCGCCTTTTTCACGCAATTTATTGGTGTAGCCGTCGCTGGAGGCAATGTTTCTAGATTGCTCTGGCTCTGTTCCTCTGGTGCTGGTGCTGGTGCTGGTGCTGCGTTTGATTAATTCAGGCGACTCACAAATAGACCTCTGAAAACTGACTCACCTGAGGTGCGCCCTCCAATAGCGGCAATAATTCAAGCTTGCTCTGGCTCTGGTGCTGCTCGTGATTGCTTTAGGCGACTCAGAATTAGTCCTCTGAAAAGTGACTCACCTGAGGTGCGCCCACCAATAGTGGCAATGCTTCAAGCTTGCTCTGGCTCTGGTGCTGCTGCTGTTCCTCTTGCTGCTCTTGCTGATGCTCTTGGTGCTGCTCTTGGTGATGCTGCTGTTGTTCCTGCAGCACATTCCCTTCCCTCACTCCTTCCATCTTCTGCTGCTGCCAATACTGCTCTCCTCTCTCCGCTCCCTCACTCCACCTTTCCCTCCCTCCCCCTCTGTCCTTCCCTCTTCCTCCCCCCCTCCCCCTCCCCCTCCCTCCTCCCACACTCTCACTCGTCCCCCAATCCCATCTCCCTCGCTCTGCTCTCTCATTGTCACCCCTTCCTTCTTCTCCCCCTCCCCATCTCCCTCCCCTTCTATCCCCATTATACCCCTTGTAAGGACTACTTGGCTGCTGTTCGTTTTCACGCGACTCAAACCCCCCTTCTCGCCGTCCCCCCCCTCCCCATCTCCCTCCCCATCTCCCTCCCCTTGTATCCCCATCATACCCCTTGTATGGACTACGCGGCTGCTGTTGGTTTTCAGTCGACTCAAACTCCCCTTCTCTCCGTCCTCCCCCTCTCCCTCGGCACAACCGCCCTTCCAGACTGGGTTGCTGCTGCTGCTGCCCCCATGCCTGTCCCCGCCTCTTGTTCTTGACTGGGCCCATGTTGATAATGGGCTGGAGTGGGGGAGTGGGGAGTGGGGAGTGGTGAGGGAGGAGAAAGGGGGAGACGGGGTAGAAAAGGATAAGGGGCTGTTCTAGCACCTCAGAAGTTACTTTTGAGTCGACTCAAAAGTCACCTCGGTGAGGGAGGAGAAAGGGGGAGACGGGGTAGAGAAGGATTAAGGGGCTGTTCTAGCACCTCAGAAGTTCCCTTCCCTGCCCCCGCCTCTTGTTCTTGACTGTGCCCATGTTGATAATGGGCTGGGGGAGGGCATGGGGAAGGGGGAGGAGGGAGTTGGAATGGGGGAAGGGGGGGGAGTTGCAATGGGCGAAGGGCACGTGGTTATTGCTGCCCCCACGCCCCCCCCCTGCCTCTTGTTCCTTAGGGACCCATGTTGATAGTAAGACGTACTTTCCCGTGCTCTTACTATAATTGGTACAAAAAACCTTGAAAATCTCTCAGAAAACCGTTTCTCCTTTCACTCACCAATGGACGTGAGTCCGTAACTTGTTCCTCCTCCTCCCCCTCATCCCCCGTCCTGAACTTGACATGCCCTTTCTTCACCTCCACTGTTTGTGTAGACTTAGAATGACATGCCCTTTTGAGTCGAATCAAACTCACCAATGGACGTGAGTTTGTAACGTGTTCCTCCTCTTCTCCTTCATCCCCCGTCCTGAACTTGACATGCCCTTTCTTCACTTCAACTTTTTGAGTTGACTTAAAACGACTTTCGGTCGATTCAAAACTCACCAAGGGTCGTGTGTTCGTAACTTGTTCCTCCTCCTCCCCCTCATCCCCCGTCCTGAACTTGACATGCCCTTTCTTCACCTCCACTTTCTGGAGCCCACCCAAACAGCTCTCCTTTCCATCCCTTTGGTGCTCTCCTCTCCCTGCCCCCACTGCTGCTGCCTCCTCTGCTCCTGCACCCACTGTAGTAGCTGCTGCTGTTGCTCCATCTCCTACTGCTGCAGCTGCTGCTGCTGCCGATGCTTCCACTTCTCCTGCTGCTGCTACTGCATCCGTGCCTGTCCCCGTGCCTGTCCCCGTGCCTGTCACTGTCCCCGTGCCTGTCCCCGTGCCTGTCACTGTCGCCGTGCCGCCTCCTGACATTAGCTGCATGTACAGAGCATCCTGTGGGAAAGGAGGGGTGTGGGGTGCGGTACAGAACGATTTGGTAGTAGCAATGCGAAGCAGTAACTTGCTGATCCATACCTCTCTCTCTGCCACTGCAATTTCAAGACCGAGAAGCCCAGGCAGTTTCCTTAATGAACGAAGTGCCATAATTTGATGCCATCACAGCGGCTCACTTCACTGGTGACACAGACATACCTTTGCAGCTTGTCGCTGCTTCGCCATCCTCTTCGCCCTCTTCCGAATCGTGTTGCGCGAAGGGCCCTGGAGAAGAGAGACGGAAGAGGGTGGGAAGGGACGGATGGGGACAAAGGAAAAAGGCACCCCTTTGCTTCTTGCCTTTGCAACCTGTCGCTGCTTCGCCACCCATCTCCTCTTCGCCCTCTTCCGAATCGTGTTGCGCGAAGGGCCCTGAGGAAGTGAGGACGGGTCGGCGGGGTGGGGGGATAGAGGCGATGCATGGTGGTGGGGTGAGGTGATGTGCGGTGGTGAGCAGTGAAACATGGGTCAGGAAGGTACTACGTTCCCTCCAAACTCACTCCCAACCCACTCCCTGCACACTCCCAGCACACTCCCAGCACACTCCCTGCACACTCCCAGCACACTCCCAGCACACTCCCAGCACACTCTCAGCACACTCCCAGCCCATTCCCAGCGCGCCCAGCACACTCTCTGCAATACGCACCTTCCTAACAGACAAGGCAGCAGCGTGGGCTCCCCTTGCATGGGCTCCTCTCGTCGCCCCTGCAGCTGCATCCGCTCCTTTTGCTGACCCTCTATTCGCACCTCCTACCTTTGCAACTCCTCCCTTCTCCTTCTCCTCTTCGCCTTCCTCACTACACTCCCCTTCCTCCTCACTTGAATCCTCCTCCTCCTCCTCCTCCTCCTCCTCCTCCTCCTCCTCCTCCTCCTCCTCCTCCGCCTCCTCCTCACTCGAGTCAGAACACACTTCCTCCTCAGTAGACCCAGAGGACCCTCCTTCCTTCTCATCGCTAAAACCCCCTTCCACCACCATCACCTCCTCTTCCTCCTCTTCATCGTCTTCCTCCCCTTCCTCCACTTCGTTCTCTTTCTCCTTTTCTTCCGCCCTCTCCCCCTCATCACCTTTCCCCCCCTCCCCTGCTTTCCCACCCCTCCCCACAACCTCCACTCCCTCCCCACCTCCCTCTCCCCCATCATCCCCTATCACGCCTCTTCTCCCCTCCTTTCCCCCACCCCTTCCATTACCACCACAATCCTTCTCCCTATTCCCACTCTCTCTCCCACCTCCTCCTTCCTCTCCAGCCAATCTCCCTTCCAACCTCTCTCTCACTCCCCTTCTCTTCTTTTTCTTCTCCACCCCCCTCTCCAAGACAACCCCCCCTCCCTCCTCATCCCTCCTTCCCTCCTTCCCTCCTTCCGCTTCTTCCCACTCTTATTCCCCTTCCCACTGCTCCCCCCCCCACTCCGCCCTTCGTTACCCTCCCCAGATACCACCCACCCCAGGGCGGGGAACGGGGAGGTGGGACCTGGGGAAAGGTCCCCCACACGGGGAACGGCGTGGGACTGAGGAGGGGCAGAGGCTGGGTGTTGCGAAAGCGGTGGGTTGCGGTGCTGAGGAGTGGAGTTGGTGTGTGGTGTGAGTGGCTTTCTGTGGTCGATTCGGCAAACCCTGGCGAGACAACAGGGGGGGAAAAGGGCAGAAAGAAAGGACGGAATGACAGTTTCTTCGATATTTTTTTTTTGCAGCCCAGGGTTCTACCGAGTTACAGGGTTTAAGCGTGGAAAGGGCATTAAAAGTTACCGACATCTCACCTGATGACGTCATCGCGGGCCAACACAGAAAGGGGTTGCCACGCTGGCAGCACGAATCCGTCCACCTGTCAGGATGAGGCACCAGGGAGGTGACACACGTGGCATAGTAGGAAATGACCCACGTGGCAATAGAGTTGGTGAAAGGGGAACAATCCTCATTTTAGAGTGACGGATAGGTATCGTGGCACCCCTGCGAAGCAAACTCGCTTCGAAATGTCTAATACCTCCTTATTCTTACCACATTAAGCATTCAATCAATAATAACTCGTTTTCCTCTGTAATAGGCACTTCAAGGCTCTAAATGCACGCACAACAAACAATTCACTCTCGAATTCTTCGCTTTAAGGCGCCTCGATTAAACACACGACGGTGTCTCGCACCTGTAGAGCCACTCCCGCTTTGCACAAATCCTGCAGACCGAACGACTCGATCAAGTGGGCTGCCAGCTGGCTGACGGTGGTAATGCCACGTGGCAGTGCGATTAGGCTGTGGCTAAGGCCCTGGGAGAGCTGCGTCCGCGTTAAGAGCGACGGATCGATGACTACACGACAGCGCGTAGGTGGGCTAGGCGTAACAATATCAAATAAACCTGAATTACACGTCTTTATATTTTCTTCCGCCATATCCGCACGCTGATATTATCACGGTAATTGTCGCCTTAGAAACGCCTTAGTGCCCCTAGAAATCAGTCTGCCTGAAAGAAGTAGTCTGCGTGGTGTACGCGATATAAAGCCAGTTCAGAACCGTACCTGCCTGGCCAATTTTGGCAGTGGGTTGAGTGAATGGATGTGGAGTATGAGATGCTGTTCGTCGTACCTCGGGTCATATTGTTCGTATATATGACGATCTGAAGTTCATACAGGAGATGCTGTGTCGATCTCACTTGAACCATTTTTGTTTCTCGTTGACTGTCGTTCAGCAAGGTGAAACATTCTGCAAACTTTGTAGTGAAAACACGTACTCCTACTTCCAAAACACTCAGTAATTCCAGTTAGAAATGCTACAGTACCAGCAACCAACCCGGCGTCCATACACGCCCAATTTTCCATCACAGAACGACCCAATTACCTAGCTTTAGGCATTAGTAGGTGCCCCACGGCATACTGTCGCTATTCCTGATCTCCAGTCCAGTGCTGCCGGCTTCGCTGCAATTGGTATCATTGTTTTTTCAAACGTTTTCTGATTGATGAACAATCTCTTGATCATTTAGTAGGCCCCTCATGAGATTATAGAGCAGCATCATTATTGGGGTAGTTATTCCCTTTTACTCTGCACATTGTCCGATGGGATAGTGAGCAATTTTTTTCCATTTTCAGGGCGGCTGTTCCTCTTGTAGCCCTAATTTGACCTTCGCACAGGCTCGCACATCTACCCGTTTTCGCAATTCTCGCAATGAACCTCAAGAAGATTCTCCAGGCCGGTTTAGGGTTCGTCATCATCCTCGTTATATTCGTCTTCGTTAGAGAACTCGCCCGCGAAACAGCCATCCACCCATCTCACTCTCCCGCCAATGCTAACCGCAAGGAGGCTCCTCATGAGATTATAGAGCAACTTAAAGAGCAGGTTGCGGGCCGCGAGGCGGAAAATACGGAGATGCAAGATCTGGAGAAGGAGATCCAGCGGCTGAAACAGGACATCAGGGTTCTATCGATCGGCGGAGGGCTTCCGACCGGAGCGCACTTAACGGCGACGGATTTAAAGACTGCAGCAGATGTGGGGGTAGACGCCACTGCCATATGCGAGCAGCAGCTATCTCACTGTAAGAGGCAAAAGCTTGAAGGGCGCTCCTTACTCTCCAGTGACCCTTCCGCTTCTGTCTCCGCGCCAACGGCGGGCGCGGAAGGGTCGGCAGCACCCGCGGGTGGTGCAGGGGGAGCGGGGGGAGCGGCGGAAGGGGGTTCCAGCACCGTTCCGCCAGTCTCCCCCGCGGTGGCGGAGCTTCAGCGGAAGCTGGCGGATCTACGGACGACGTACGATGCGATGATGATCGACAAGCGCAATCTGACGGCTGAGCTCGCCCGGCTGTCCCACAACGGCACGTGCGGGCCGCTGGTCAATCTGACCATGGTGGAGGGCGCGGCTCGGGACCTAGCTTCGGATTGCGCGGATGCTGCTAAGAAGCAGACGGAAGCGGAAATGCAGATAGTAACCGGGGGAGCTGGGGGAGCCGGCGAAGGGGGAGGGGGAGGGGGAGGGGGAGGGGGAGGGGGAGGGGGAGGAGAAGCCGAAAAGGATTTGTCTCCAAATGAGAAAAAGCTAATGTCATTTCGGACGTGTAACGGATCGGATGAGGAGTTACAAGTGTACATGAATTACACTGCCAGACAGGCGTGCCCTGACGACTGGTTACTGGCTCAACGGCTCATGTTTGAAAAGAATTGCTTCTGTTTGCCCCGCCGCCTCTGCTTCGCAGCCACTCCACCGCATTACACCGAACCCCACCTTGGCCCTCCGGGTTCTCTTTTCAATCAGGAGATGCTGCGAGATGAGAATGTGCGGTGGGGATTGCACGAGTGTATATCGTACGCGTGTGTGAATTCACGGGAGAAGGGGGAGTGCAGGAATTGTTTTAACATGAGTTTGGAGGTGAAGCGCTGGCAGACACCGTACCTGGGTACCATACCTGTGGCGCAGGTCTGGCAGCTCAAGCCGCCCGGCTCGCTTCGGATCGGGCTGGATGTGGGTGGAGGTTCGGGGAGTTTTGCAGCTCACATGGCCCGTTACAACGTAACCATCCTTACAACTTCGATGAATAAGGAATTCATTGAAGGTGTAGATGGGGGGCTGCCTTATATGGAGACTATTGCTTTGAGAGGATTGGTGCCGCTTCACGTCCCCACTAAAGCCCGGCAACCGTTTTTCGACAACACCCTCGATATAATACACTCGGCTCAAAGCGTCCGTTACTTTTCAGTTTCAGAACTGGAGGAGCTGATGTTCGAGTGGCACCGGATTCTTCGGCCGGGCGGCATTATTTGGTTTGAGCTGCTGGCCGCTCCTACAAGCAAGATGAAGCAGTATATAGTGGTGATTAACATGTTCAAGTATAAGCAGCTGTACTGGGATCTTGCGCCTGTGGATGATCCGAAGAAGAGCAAGACCCATGTCTACTTGAACTGTGTATTGGAGAAGCCTAGGAAGTCATAGGGTAGGTGATGCTAGAAAGGCATAGTGCCACCGTAGCGGAAACGTGTTTGTAGAAAGAACAAGATAGAAAGCTTGTATTGGAAACGGATTGAGAATTGATTGATATTGGGGAATACAAGCAAGGTTGATATAGCATGCAGGATCTAATGATGGAAAGTACTTCGTGGGACTAGAAAGTAGAAGCAAGAAAAGTAGAGTGTCAGGTGGCACAAGGAAATCAAGGAGGATAAGGATAAGGGTGAGTTGGAAAGTACTGTTCAAAGGGAACAGTAAATCCCCCCCCCTTATCATGGAGGCTACACTAAAACCAAACAGCACTGGTATACAGTATTTGTTATACTGTATTCGGTTTTCCAACACTCCCCCTTGCTGTAGGTTTTAGCGTCTTTCTTGGAGGATGGGGTGGATGAGGTGGTGTACCACCGTAGCAGAGGTAGGGGTGCTCCCAACCCAAGCCAAGCTAGGGTTTGGTGTTCACCAAGCCGCTTGTCATTTTGCCCTTCCCAAACTCTCGGTGCTTCCAACTCCAACCAAACCATCTTTCCTCACGTTTTCCAAACCCTCCTTTCGATCTCGACTTTCCAGATCCAGATCCAATGAGTAATGGCTGCGTCTGAGGAAATCGTAGCAGCTCCATGACGAAATCTCCTCAAAACCATGTCGAAATGCGTATATCGTCATGGCGGAATGCCCTTCGCGCACGCCGAATTTCCGAAACCGTCAACTTTACGTCACGCGATTGTCAGTGCTGCTGTCTTTTTCGCATGCCTCCTGTGCGACGACGAAAACACCGCAGCGGATGCGCGTCTGCGACGACTACAGTTGCGGATGACGCGAAGCGGTAGCGGACAACGCATGGCGTGCGGCTGGCGCAGAACTGCATTGGCAGGCGTACACGGCGTGCGGTAGAAGCGACGACCTGGCGTGCGTTAGCGGCTGACGATCTGCTGCGCGTCTGCTGCACCATTTTCCTGTCCGCGCTTGCTGTATCTTCGTGGGTCTTTTCTCCCCCTGTCTTCCTGTCTTGCCTTTCTCTGTAGACCTTGCCCTTCTCCCCCTGCCTCCTGATGTGATGGCATCAGGTTGTGCAGGTCTTGAATGCACACCAGCAGATGATGCCAAGTCTGCTCGAACTTCACCCATGCTGCCCTGTGACGCTCCCCCTATACTCCAGCCAACGTACAAGAGCAGTAGGAGTTGCCGAACTCCATCAGCTCGAGTTGACAGGTGCACTCCAAGTATGCAGTGGATGCCAAGTATGCAGTAATGTGCCCCCATATCCAAGTATGCCGTAATGTGCACACCAGTAATTCAGAAATGTGTGCTCCCATGAATGTTCTCCATTCTTCCTTCATGTGGTGCTGTTCAACCGTAGTAACCAGTCGCACGATACCGCTGCAGCACGACGGATGACGACCTGCTGCATCCATTCTGCCTGCTCCCCCTGCCTATTGGCAACCCTTGGTGAGTATGTCTTCCCCATATGCTTCTTGACTCCATGTCCCACTCCAGTGCCACCAGGTACATTCCACACCCCACCTCCCCCCACCCATGTGCTTGTAGTCATCCGCGTACACAGCTACAAGCACATGAGTGAGCGTGGAGTTAGGTGATGCAGTGGTGGGCAGCACAACTCGAGGAGGCCGCACAGGTGAGTACAACACCATCATTCTTGACTTGCCGATTGTCTCCAGATGGTACACCAGGGAGAATTGGTTGAAGCCCACTCAGCAAACTGCAGGTGAGATGCTGCTTGGAGGTGACCTGTTTGGTAAGGTAATCGGCTGCTTGCTTGACTGTTGGACAGTACTGCAACCATACCACACCATCACGCACTGCTTTACGGGTCCAGTGGTAACGCACCTCCATGTGCTTGGTGCGCTGACTCATTTGTTCCCCTTTTCCAAGGGCAATCGCACTCTGGTTATCCACATAAAGAACTGTGGGTTCTCTCTGTGGAAAGCCAAGGTCTGCACACAGTCGTCGTAGATGAGCTGCTTCCCTTGCTCCTTCAAACATGGCGATGTACTCAGCTTCTGTTGTGGAGGTAGCGATGACCGTTTGTCGTTTCGTCCTCCAGCTGACTGCAGCTCCCCCCAGCGTAAACACATAGCCTCCCACCGAGTGACATCCAACCTCATTTGCATAGTCAGAGTCGGTGTATCCACGAAGCACCAAGTCTCCCCCTCCATAAACCAGCCCAATTTCAGCAGTGTTCTGAAGATACTTGAAAACACGTTGAATTCCGAGCACAGTTGCTGCTGTTGGCTTGCTGGCCTGTCTTGCCAGCACATGCGTGGCAAAGGTAATATCTGGCCTTCCCGCTGTGGAGACGTACAGCAGCGTCCCAACCTGCTGCATCACCCGCTGATTGTCCACCTCCTCAGGTGACTCCCCCTGAGGTCCAGGTTCCTTGGAAATCGACGTTCGTACTCCAGAGCGGCCCCCCTCCATCTCAAAGTTTGCCAATGCTTGTCTGATGTACTTGGTGAGTCCCAACGATATGGTGTCGCAAGAAGCAGCAACATTCAGACCTAGAAATTGGGTCATGGTCGAGTTGACGGTCAAGGTGAAGTTGTTCTTCAAGTGTTGAATGACTGCTTGGATGCCTTCTTCATCATCAGACTGAATGAGGATGTCATCCACGTAAGTGAGCAGCCACACCATATCTTTTCCAGCCCTCTTCCAGATGAACAGTGATGGATCAGATTCCGACTGCACCATTTCCAGCTCCAGCAGCACTCCTCGTAAGTGTTGATGCCACAATCGAGGTGCTTGTTTCAGCCCATAGACGCTTCGCCTGAGCTTCCAAACCTTGTCTCCATCACGTCGAGGTTCAGGTGGTCGCACGTACACATCTCTGTCAATTGGTGCATAGAGAAATGCGTTGGAGATGTCCAGTTGCACGACTTTCCGCTTCGTTGTTGATGCGCCTGCAACAAACATGCGTGAAGTAGGTCCTTGGCTGACCGGGGCGTATGTCTCATCATATGTTCCCCACGTCTGTCCACAGCCTTTCACCACCCAGCGTGCCTTGAACCTGCTTGGCTGGCCATTTTCATCTCGTTTAACCCTGAAGAAAATTCCCTCCGTCAACACCGGGACTCCCTTTGGTACGTCCGCCCTGTCCACCACTTCATACGCTCCCAACTCGTCAAAATTGGTGAGCTCCGCGTTGACCGCCGCTTGCCAAAAAGATGCATATGGATCCGTGGTCAGTTCTTTGAGTGACTTTGGCTCTTTGTAGGTCAGGTCGACCATGGGCACAGTCGCAGCTGCACATCCCAACACGTGTTGCTGTAAGCTGGGAAGGCTGTTGACTCCTTGTAGCATGTCTTCCTCAGTCCACATGGCTTGTCCTGCTTGACGTTTTCCAAGTAGCACGTCCAGTCCTGTCATGCGGTGCGCAGCTTGTCCTTCTTCTCCGAGCACAGTTACAGTCGGATCAAAGTGAACTCGTCGTTGTGGTGCACCTTGTTCGGCCAGTGGAATTCCTTCAGGCGGGTAGGCAAAGTCATAAACGTGACATGTCTCGTTCTCCATGCCATGGTCTTCCCCGTTCTCTGAAATGGAAACACCTGCCGCAGGTAAGTCATTGGTTGCAGCTCCACTTGCTGCATCGGCTGTCGGTGAGTCCTTGTCCATTCCTCCGGCAGGGGTACTGCATACTTGGTGTCCAGTTGGCATATCGGTCGATGACGCGGAAGAGGATGGGGAGGACGGAAAAGGATCGGACTCATGCTCAATTTCTTCTCCCCCTGAAGTCCACTCTGCAACGTGGGGTGAGACTTCATCGGCATAGCGCTGACGTTCGAGTAGAGACTCCGCGTCCGGCAACATGAGGTCATCAAAGAAATGAGCAGACCGATTGTCCGTGTCCACGTCACTTGCCATGTCCCGCACGATCCACGCTTTCCGAACGTTGGAGATGCCGAGGAACATGCCAGCCCGGCCTCTCTGCTCAAACTTGCCAAAGCTGCCTTGTGGGGGAAGGTAATAGCAGAGGCAGCCAAAGGTTCGTGCCATGGACACGTCCGCAGGTTTCCCCGTCATCATGTAGTACGGTGAGTGCGCAGATGGATTGCTGCTGCAGCTGATGCGGTTGTGTAACCATGTAGCGTACTCAAGCGCGTACGGCCAGAAGGTGGAGGAGAGGCTGGCCCCGGTAGTCATGGCCCGCACTCTTCCATGAGTGTGCGGTTAACCCGTTCCGCGACTCCATTCTGTTGCGGGGTGTGCGGTAATGACGTTTCGTGGATGACGCCGTGGGAACTCAAATATTCTGTGAAGGCGTTTGCTGTATACTCCCCCCCGTTGTCCGTGCGCAGTGTAGCCAGCGGCTTTGTGGGCAGCTTAGTCTTCATTTCGCGGTGCCATGCCGTGAAGACAGCTTGCATGTCAGATCGGCGAACTAGCGGCGCCACCCACAAGTAGTTGGTAAAGTCATCCTTGAGCGTTAGGACGTAGCGAAGTGAGGGGTGGGCGTCACCCAGGTCCATGATGTCGCTATGCACGAGCTCCAAAGGGCGACTTGAGCGCTTCTCATTTCCTGTAGGAAAAGGGGCTTTGGTCATTCTCCCTCGCAAGCAAGAGTCACACGGAGGCTTCAGAGGGTTGGTTTTGTCAGAAATGGTAAGCCCTTCAAATGTCACCATTCTGAAATGTGGCATCCATGGATGTGTATGACGGATGCCCCAAACGCTTGTGTGCCATGCGGTATGTGACAGAGGCGTGTGCAGAATGGCCACTCAAGTGCATTTCAGGTGTGCGGAAATCTGAGCTCCCATGTGTACCCAAGTGCACTCCCGGTGTGCAGAGAGTTGTGTCCCCTTCACCACCATGCTCTTTCAATGATGCATCATCACGGGAAGGACCAGGACCATGGGCGGATGTAAGTGCAGGCTCATACTCCACCATGAGCACCCCATGCATGATGATCCCAAGTCCAATGCACACATGCTCATCTCCATCCGCCATTGTGATCTCTGTGTGCCCGTCAG